AGGATTTTGATGCAGAATGGTGGGAAATCGCTATAGAAATCGTTTAAAACACACCGCTTGAGAATAAGATGAGAACTGGCGAAGATACAGCCATCGCAGTGGGCCCTATGGGGGAAAACCCATTTTCAAGGGGTCCCATCAGGAAAAAAGGACAAAAAATTGGAAAAATATTTTGTCACAGGATTTTGATGCAGAATGGTGAAGAATCGATATAGAAATCCTTTAAAACACACCGCTTGAGAATCGGATGAGAACTGGCGAAGATACAGCCATCGCAGTGGGCCCTATAGGGGAAAACCCATTTTCAAGGGGTCCCATCAGGAAAAAAGGACAAAAAATCTGAAAAATATTTTGTTTCAGTATTTTGATGCAGATTAAGGAAGAATCGATATAGAAATCGTTTAAAAGACTCCGCTTGAGAATCGGATGAGAATTGGGGACGATATAGCCATCACTGTGGAACCAATAGGGGAAAACACCATTTTCAAGGGGTCCCATCACGAAAAATGAACAAAAAATCTGAAAAATATTTTGTCTCAGGATTTTGATGCAGAATGGTGGGAAATCGCTATAGAAATCGTTTAAAACACACCGCTTGAGAATAAGATGAGAACTGGCGAAGATACAGCCATCGCAGTGGGCCCTATAGGGGAAAACCCATTTTCAAGGGGTCCCATCAGGAAAAAAGGACAAAAAATTGGAAAAATATTTTGTCACAGGATTTTGATGCAGAATGGTGAAGAATCGATATAGAAATCGTTTAAAACACACCGCTTGAGAATCGGATGAGAATTGGCGAAGATACAGCCATCGCAGTGGGCCCTATGGGGGAAAACCCATTTTCAAGGGGTCCCATCAGGAAAAAGGACAAAAAATCTAAGAAATATTTTGTCTCAGGATTTTGATGCAGAATGGTGGAGAATCGATATAGGAATCGTTTAAAACACACCGCTTGAGAATCGGATGAGAATTGGGGACGATATAGCCATCACTGTGGAACCAATAGGGGAAAACACCATTTTCAAGGGGTCCCATCACGAAAAATGGACAAAAAATCTAAAAAATATTTTGTCTCAGGATTTTGATGCAGAATGGTGGCGAATCAATCCAGAAATCGATTAAGGTACTCCGCTTGAGAATCGGATGAGAATTGGCGAAGATACAGCCATCGCAGTGGGCCCTATGGGGGAAAAACCATTTTCAAGGGGTCCCATCAGGAAAAAAGGACAAAAAATTGCAAAAATATTTTGTTTCAGTATTTTGATGCAGAAAGGTGGCGAATCAATTTAGAAATCGATTAAAACACACCGCTTGAGAATCGGATGAGAATTGGCGAAGATACAGCCATCGCAGTGGGCCCTATGGGGGAAAACCCATTTTCAAGGGGTCCCATCAGGAAAAATGAACAAAAAATCGGAAAAATATTTTGTTGCAGAATGGTGGCGAATCAATCCAGAAATCGATTAAAACACACCGCTTGAGAATCGGATGAGAATTGGCGAAGATACAGCCATCGCAGTGGGCCCTATGGGGGAAAACCCATTTTCAAGGGGTCCCATCAGGAAAAATGGACAAAAAATCGGAAAAATATTTTGTCACAGGATTTTGATGCAGAATGGTGGCGAATCAATCCAGAAATCGATTAAGGTACTCCGCTTGAGAATCGGATGAGAATTGGCGAAGATACAGCCATCACAGTGGGCCCTATAGGGGAAATCCCATTTTCAAGGGGTCCCATTAGGAAAAAAGGACAAAAAATCTGAAAAATATTTTGTCACAGGATTTTGATGCAGAATGGTGGAGAATCGATATAGAAATCGTTTAAAACACACCGCTTGAGAATCGGATGAGAACTGGCGAAGATACAGCCATCGCAGTGGGCCCTATGGGGGAAAACCCATTTTCAAGGGGTCCCATCAGGAAAAATGAACAAAAAATCGGAAAAATATTTTGTCACAGGATTTTGATGCAGAATGGTGGCGAATCAATCCAGAAATCGATTAAAACACACCGCTTGAGAATCGGATGAGAATTGGCGAAGATACAGCCATCGCAGTGGGCCCTATGGGGGAAAACCCATTTCAAGGGGTCCCATCGGAAAAAGGAAAAATTGAAAAATTTTTGTCACGTTTGATGCAGGTGGTGGCGATATGGAAAATCCAGACAAAATCTGAAAATATTTTGTCCGGATTTTGATGCGAATGGTGGGAATCGATGTGAATCGTTTAAAGACCGCTTGAGAATCGGATGGACTGGCGAAGTACAGCCATCGCGGGGCCTTGGGGGAAACCCTTTTGGGGTCATCAGGAAAATGAACCAAAATTGAAAATTTTTGTTCAGGTTTTGATGAGAATGGTGGGCAATCGCTATAGAAATCGTTTAAAACACACCGCTTGAGAATCGGTGAGAATTGGCGAAGATACAGACATCGCGTGGGTTGGGGAAAACCCATTTTGGGGTCCATCGGAAAAAGGACCAAAATCTGAAAAATTTTGTCTCGGATTTTGATGCAGATGGTGGGCAATCGTATAGAAATCGTTTAAAACACACGCTTGAGAATCGGATGAGATTGGCGAAGATACAGACATCGCAGTGGGCCCTAAGGGGAAACCCATTTTCAGGGGTCCCATCGGAAAAGGACCAAAATCTGAAAATATTTTGTCTCGGATTTTGATGCAGAATGGTGGAGAATCGATATAGAAATCGTTTAAAACACACCGCTCGAGAATCGGATGAGAATTGAGGAAGATATAGCCATCGCTGTGGGCCCTATAGGGCAAAACACCATTTTCAGGGAATCGGTCAGGAAAAATGGACAAAAATTCTGAAAAATATTTTGTCTCAGGATTTTGATGCAGAATGGTGGAGAATCGATTATAAGCAAGTCAAATAGCAAGTCGTGTATATTTAGCTTATTTAAAAAAGTTTAAAATGTTCGTAAATATTCATTTAAAAAAAACGAATTTTATGTCTTCATATCTGATAAAGAATTTAATTTTTAAAAAAGAATTGCTTACCACAAATGTGTCAACCAGTTTTGCATGAAATTGTCAATAAATGGTTACCATATTTTGACCAATAAATACAACAATTCACTGTCTACTGGGAAACAATAACAAGAAAACCCTAAAAAAGAATAAATAACAGAACAAAAATTGGAATATATTATATAAATAAAATTCTCATCATATTTTTATAACCACGTAGACATAAAGATTCGTATCGCCACACATCTGGGGAAACACGGCAAGAGGTCATGGCTTTCCATGGTCATTCCTTTGCCTTGTTAGTCCTGCCACTCCTGTCGGCTGTAATCTTTTTTTTGGTTTGTTTGTTTGTTATGTGACCAATAAAGTAGGCGGCTGTTGGCCCTCAAGCGATGGCTGGACAAATAAAAACTCAGCCACATCGGATCAGATTGGACCGAAATGGGGGGCGTGACCAAGGAGGGCGAAGGGCAGAGCGGAACAAAATTGGTACGTAAACCCTGGTATAAGCCAAATGTGCAATAAAAGGATTTGTGTGAGAAATTGCATGAGCACGCATTTTAAATCCACATTAAGTATGTATGACCATAGAGGGAATACCGGCCAGAAAAAAGGGAAAACTCAACTCAAGTCAGAGAAATAAAAAAATGACCACAAATAAACATGAAAGTAAATATTTAATGAAAAACAGTCGAGATGGAAAGTCAAAAGAGCATGGTCCTACAAAGTGCGTGTTGAAAATTATTTTTTAATACTTTAATTTGGATATCTTTGTATAAATTGAATATTTTTGTTACTACCAAGCTTTGTGCATAATAGATTACCATTTAGGTAGAGCCTCTGCCGAAACCATTCATTATTGGCAATTTCAACAAACAAAACCAACCATCTCAAATGAAAATCTTCCTCCAGCCAAAGTTCAACTTGGCAAACAGCAATTATGAGCTCTTTGGCCATAGGCTTCGCCTTACAAAAGAGTGGCTTTAGGCCCTCCGCCACTCCCAGTAGAATGCCATTCATGCGGACAAGTCCGTCTTCGTGTGTGTCTTGCCAATAAATCACGTCTGTTTCTGTCTTCGGTTTCTTGCGATTGGCCCCAACGCCGTTTTGGTTTGCGATGGTCCATAGCATTTGACCTGCAATCAGCGAGTGTTTGGGAAGCATGGACGTTTTTTCAGAAAACATGTTTTAAATTGATATAAATTCACTAAAGATCAATGAGGTTAATGCAACTATTAAGTCATTTTTTAAATATATGCCCTACATATGTACATATATGTATTATATACATATTGCTTTGGAAATAAATATATATATGATTTATATAAAAATATTCAAGAGGTAATTTATATTTTGTTCCTGATCTTACTTGTTTCAATCTCAAAAGCTATGGCTATATAGTAAACTTTTCAATCTGCATCAGAATATAAGAAATGATTACATTTTCTGAGGCCTCCTCTTCCAAAAAGTGCAAATATGCAATGATTCCAAAAATTTGTTTATAAGAGAAAAACAGCTGGAAAGATTATTCATCTATGGAAATCTTGGCTTATCTGGGTGAACACTTATAATCATTACCATAGTCAAAAAACAACGAACAGACTAAATAATTAACTAACTAACAGAATGGCCACAAGTAGTCCAATTATTTTGTGAGTGGCTAAAATAAAAAATATATATGTTGTTTTTAATTTTCATTGAAATAAATCATAAGAAATCTTTATTTAAAACATGTAGAAGTTTAAAAAATTTTATTAACCTAAATTAACGCTTCACAAATAAAAAAATTTGATTCATAAGAGGATTCATGTCGCATATAAGTTCTCCATGTAGTCTTTTCAATGACAACAACTACCTTGCCATATTGCATTTTTGGTTCGTCAGTTCCCCAGTGTATGTAATTATCATTTGAGCCTGTAGATATAGACAGAAATTGACCTTCATTTAGCTGATCAGTAAGGTCGATAAAATATCCTGAGTCGTCGCGAAGTTCATCTGAAATTTTTATGAATTCTAAATCATTTTCAAAGTAGCTAAATGTCCACCCAATTCTTGGCATTTGAAGAAGGCGCCCAACCAAATTCTGGGTTCTTCGTTTTCAATGTAGTAAAACTTTTGACCAATTTTTTTAAAGTTTTTTTCTATCTTCTGCTTTTGTTCCTGAGTGACTTCCTCGTGCTTCTCGCAGACGAATAATTTTTTTAGGTCACATGACTTATAATCCATATGACCCAAAGTGTTGATGAAGACGCACGTGGAAAAAGAGTCATGGCTGTCTTTTAGATCAGGGTGTATGAAACTTGGCGCTAAGCCTGTCGTTGCCGATAGAAAACCGCCACGTTCATAAATTTGATCGCTTATGTCTATGAAGTATTCCTTGTTGGGCATCAGCTCTTTGCTGATGTCATCGAGCTCCTGCTGACTCTTGATACTTGCTAGATGGCCGCCCAAGCGACTGCATTGATACAGAGCTCCAAGCCAAACTTGTTCATTGTCGCTTTCAATGTAGTAGCACTTGGAGCCAATGGCTTTAAACTTTCCACCACATATGCGTGGCTGGGACTGGTACCGAAAAAACGTTACTTGAATTAAATTCTTCAATTAAATCTCAATAGTAAGATCCGCATACCGCTCGTTGGGACCATAGGTATGCCCCCAAAGACGTTGTCAGCACAACAGCAATAATTATTAAAACTCCAAATCTCATTTTGCTCACTTGACTTCGCGCCTCACAAAACATGACTGAATGTAGGCTGATTTTTTCATTTTCAAGGTACCTATGAAAGATTTTTTTCCAGTACTCTCTTATCACTAGCTGACTAGATTTTGGACCTCGGTAAAATTTTTGGGGATTCTGCGAGTTCTATGTATTTGAAAGGGGTTTTTTCCAGTATTCCCTTATCACTAGCTGACTAGATTTTGGACCTCGGTAAAATTTTTGGGGATTCTGCGAGTTCTATGTATTTGAAAGGGGTTTTTTCCAGTATTCCCTTATCACTAGCTGACTAGATTTTGGACCTCGGTAAAATTTTTGGGGATTCTGCGAGTTCAGTTTTATGTATTTGAAAGGGGTTCGACAATATGTGGGCCACACAATGTGGGGGTAAGTAATGTGAAATGAAAGTTCATGATAATATTTAGATAACCGACCAAAACTGGCAAAAAACCAACACTTTAATGGTAAGTTGATTTTGAAAGTTCAATAAAATCTCTTGCTTAGTGATTGTGCTTGTGATTGTGGACAGACAAGCCGTCCTCAAGTTTCTTATCTGAGACCAAATTTCGTGAGTAGCAAGGTTTTAGTTGACCCCAGTGATCAGGCAATAAGAATCCAACAAAAAACAACGGATTCGAATGTTCACGTGCGGTTTTTTTTTATTTTTTACTCAATTTCAAATTAAACAAGAAAGGAAAGCTAACTTCTGGCGCAGCCTGAATTGATACACCCTTGCAGTTAGGATTGAATATATATATCAAATATCGGGTATAGTCTGCCGATCCTCAATAGAATTTCATTCTAAAACCAATTTCTTAAAATAAAAAATTTTAAAAAAGACCCAAGCTCCCACCTTCAAAAATACCAAGGTTGGGACTTATATACTGCATGCAAAAGAAAAAAGGGTTCAAGTCCATAGCTTTAAAACTGAGAGACTACTGAGCGTAGAAACAAACATACAGATATACATACATGCTTATATGAACTCAGGAGGTGATCCTGATGAAGGATATATGTACTTTATAAGGTCGGAGATGCTTTACGGCGTTGCACACTTATGAACAAAAATAAAAAATAAATATATAATAAAAAAAAATAACTAACAAACTATCAAAACTAGTCCAATTATTTCGTGAGGGGCTAAAATAAAAAAAATGATTTTTTTTTTAATTTTCTTTGGAATAAAACATAAAAACGAAATTATTTGCAATTCAAGACATCTTTATTTAATCAATTATCGGACATATTATTTAATCAGCTTAAAAAATCTTAGTTAACGCCTAAATTAACGCTTCACAAATAAAAAAATATAATTCATAATAGGGAGCATGTCGCATATAAGTACTCGATCCAGTTACTTCAATGACAACTACTCTCAGGCCATAATCCATTTTTGGTTCGTCAATTCCCCAGGAAAAGTAATTATCTTTTGAGCCTGTAGATATAGACAGAAATTGACCTTCATTTAGCTGATCATTAAGGTCTATAAAATATAGTGAGTTGTTGCGAAGTTCTTTTGAAATGTTTATGAATTCCAAATCATTTCTCGGAGTAGCTAAATGTCCTCCCAATTCTTGGCACTTATGGAAGGAATCCATCCAATTTCTCTCCTCTTTGTGTTCAATATAGTAGAACTTATCCCCAATTTTTTTAAAATGTTGTTCTATTTTCTGCTTCTGTTCCAGTGTCGCTTCCTCGTGTTTCTCGCAGACAACTAACTTATTTGTGTTACACAAGGCAAGGGTCATTTGACCTAAACTGTTGATGACACCGCACTCCTTATAAACGTTGGACTTCAGATCTTGGGGTATGAAACTTGGCGCTAAGCCTGTCGTTGCAGATTGGAAACCATAAGATTCATAAGTTTGATGGCTAATGTCAACGAAGTATTCCTTGTTGGGCATCAGCTCTTTGCTAATGTCATCGAGCTCCTGCTGACTCTGGATACTTGCTAGATGGCCGCCCAACCGGCTGCATTGATACAGAGCTCCAAGCCAAAATTGTTCGATGTCGCTTTCAATGTAGTAGCACTTGGAGCCAATGGCCTTAAACTTCCCCCCACATATGCGTGGCTGGTACCGAAGAAACGTTACTTGAATTAAATTTTTTAATCAAATTTCAATAATAAGATATACATACCGCTCGTTGGGTCCATAGATATGTCCCCAAAGACGTTGTCAGCGCAACGGCAATAATTATTAAAATCCCAAATCCCATTTTTCTCACTTGACTTCGCGCTTCACAAAACTTGACTGAATGGAGGCTGATTTTTTCATTTTCAAGTAACCTATGAAAGATTTTTTTCCAGTATTCTCTTATCACTAGCTGACTAGATTTTGGACCTCGGTAAAATTTTTGGGGATTCTGCGAGTTCTATGTATTTGAAAGGGGTTCGACAATATGTGAGGTAAGTAATGTGAATGAAATGAAAGTTCATGATAATATTTAGATAACCGACCAAAACTGGCAAAAAACCAACACTTTAATGGTAAGTTGATTTGAAAGTTCAATAAAAGTGATTGTGCTTAGTGATTGTGCTTGTGATTGTGGACAGACAAGCCGTCCTCAAGTTTCTTATCTGAGACCAAATTTCGTGAATAGCAAGGTTTTAGTTGACCCCAGTGATCAGGCAATAAGAATCCAACAAAAAACAACGGATTCGAATGTTCACGCGCCAAGCTCCCACCTTCAAAAATACCAAGGTTGGGACTTACATATATACATACTTCACGCAGAAGAAAAAAGGGTTGTGAAAAGTTTCAAGTCCATAGCTTTAAAACTTATATCAACTCAGGAGGTGATCCGGATGAAGAATATATATACTTTATAGGGTCGGAGATGTCACTTATGAACACAATTAAAATACCCTATAATAAAAAAAATATAACTAAATAACACAGAAATAGTTAAATTATTTCGAGAAAGGCTAAAAAAAAAAACTGGGTAATTTTTTTTAAATTTTCTTTGGAATAAAACAAAAAATGAAATTATTTGCAATTCAAGAAATCTTTATTTAAAAATGTTTTACAAAATGTTATTACCGCCTAAATTAACGCTTCACAAATGAAAAAATTTGTTTCATAAGAGGGAGCATGGGTCATATAAGTACTCGATCCAGTTTTTTCAATGACAACAACGTCCAGGCCATATTCCATTTTTGGTCCGCCAAGTAGTTCCCAATCAAGGAAATTATCTTTTGAGCCTAAAGATATAGAAAGAAATTCACCTTTATTTAGCTCATCATTAAGGTCGATAAAATAGCGTGAATCGATGCGAAGTTCATCTGAAATTTTATAGAATTCCAAATCGTTTCTCGGAGTTGCTAAATGACCTCCCAATTCTTGGCACCTATGAAAGGCGTCCAACCAACTTCTCTTTTCTTTGTGTTCAATGTAGTAGGACTTATCCCCAATTTTTTTAAAATGTTGCTCTATCTTCTGCTTCTGTTCCTGAGTCGCTTCCTCGTGTTTCTCGCAGACAAACAATAACTTAGAGGTACACAAGCCATGGGTCATGTAACCCAAAGTGTTGATAACAGCGCAGATCTTACGCAAATGCCAGTTGTCGTCCAGATTTTGGTGTATGAAACTTGGCGCTAAGCCTGTCGTTGCCGAAAGAAAACCGCCACGTTCATAAATTTGATCGCTTATGTCTATGAAGTATTCCTTGTTGGGCATCAGCTCTTTGCTCTTTGGGACTGGTACCGAAGAAACGTTACTTGAATTAAATTCTTTGATAAAATTATAATAATAAGATATACATACCGCTCGTTGGGTCCAAAGATATGTCCCCAAGGACGTTGTCAGCGCAACGGCAATAATTATTAAAATTCCAAATCCCATTTTGGTCACTTGTCTTCGCGAATCACAAAACATGACTGAATGGATGCTGATTTTTTCATTTTCCCCAAGTCCTCCAGATTCTTATCTAAGACCAAATTTCGTGAGTAGCAACGCAGCAGTTGAACTCAGCGATCAGACAATAATAGCACAACAATAAAAAAAAATATTATATTAGACTTTGCACGCGCTTGGAAAAAAAAAATATCAAATTTGTTCCAAGCTATTGAATTTTTTTTTTAAGATTATTGGTATAAATATAATATTTTATAGTTTGAGAAATCTTTATTGATTAAAATTTACAAATTTGAAGAAATCTAAAAAAATGCTTCACAAATGAAGTAATTCGATTCAAATTCTGAAACATGTTCCATATAAGTACCTATTTCCGATTTTTTGATGACAACAGCTCCCCCCCTCCTATATCGCGGTTTTGGTTCGCCATCTGCCCAGAAAAATAAACTATCTTTTGAACCTGAAGTTATAGATAGATAATGATCCTCCTCTATTTTATCAATAAGGTCAATAAAATATTGTGAGCCTGGACGAAGTTCTTCTGAAATGTTGATTAGTTCCTGGTCGTTTCTCGAAGTAGCCAAATGTCCACCCAATTCTTGGCATTTGTGGAAGGCGTCTATCCAAGTTCTCTGCTCGTTGTTTTCAATGTAGTAGTACTTGTGGCCAATTTTTTTAAAATTTTTTTCTATCTTCTGCTTTTGTTCCTGAGTGACTTCCTCGTGCTTCTCGCAAACGAATAACTTTTTTTGGTAACAATACGCATCAACCATGTGACCCAAACGGTTGATGACGGCGCACCCCTTAATTTCCTGATTCTCCTCCAGATGTGGGTGTCTGAAATTTGGCGCTAAGCCTGTGGTTGCAGATAGAAAACCTTTACGGTCCTCTATTTGATCGCTTATGTCAATATAGTATTCCGAGTAGTACATTAGTTCTTTGCTGATGTCGTTGAGTTCCTGCTGACTTTGGATACTCGCTAGATGGCCGCCCAAGCGGCTGCATTGATACAGAGCTCCAAGCCAAATTTGTTCGCTGTCGTTTTCAATATAATAGCACTTGGAGCCAATGGCCTTATATTTACCACCACATACACGTGGCTGATTAAAAAAAAGTTTCTTAAATTAAATTCTTGAATTTAATTTCAATAGTAAAATCCACCTACCCCATTTGTCCATAGGTATGTCCTCAGAGATGTTGTCAGGGCAACACCAATAAGCATTAAAACTTCAAATCCCATTTTAGGTAACTTGACATCGCGCCTCAAAAACATGACTGAATGGAGGCTGATTTTCACGTAACCCATGGAAGCTTTTTTTCAAGTATTTTCCTATCACTAGCTGATTAGATTTTCGACCTTGGTGAAAAGCTTCAACATTGTCCTAGGTTTTTGGGAATCTGCGACTTATTTTGGAAGTATGTTTGACAATAAGTGGGGCAAGCGATGTCGAGAATATGGAATTCTTATATGGGACCAAATCTCGTGAGTAGCAACGTTCTGGTTGACCCAAGTGATCCGGCAATAAAAAAACAATAAAATCAAGAGATTAGAAATTCATTTGTTTCTATTAAAAATTCTCAATTTGTTATGATTATTCCCACGCGTTGCTCTAATTTGTAAATTTTTTATTTGACAAAAATTGCCTTGTATTCAGATTATTTTAATGATATAATTTTCACATTGCCTTTAATGGGACATAGAAATTACTTGGATGTCGCAGTGTTAAAGGAACGGCACTGAAAAGTCGTAGACTTTGGCTTTGGTTTATTGGCAGGGTGACAGACCAACACTGTCAGGAGCATAAATCCTAGTTGGAAACTTGGCACCAGGCACTCCTGAACCAGGACTCGTTTCCCGGCAATCATTCATTGCTTCAATCAAGGTGGCAGCCATGCAACCTCAACCGTTTCGCTTCAACTGCACTCTAGCATTTCAATTTAAATTAAAACTTTGCTGGAACTTTAAACACAGTTTACGCAGATCTCCTTCCGCCTTCAATTCTACTTGAATGTTTTTTTTTCCTATTTTTTATCCTCGTATGCAATTGCAATTGCCATGAGGTTACCGGCATGTACCGGCACTTAGCAGAGTTCCAGAACTCGGCTACAAAAAAAAAAAAACTCTAAAAATCTAACGCTTGGTTGGCCACCGAAGAAGGCGTAAGTAAGTGAGTAAGTAAGTTGTAACTCGGTTGAACTTCTCCCATCCTGCCATCTCACTCCACATGTACATTTGTTTTTTCAGTTAATACCCGATAAACTTTATGCTATTCCCTGATATACATTTAAAACAATTTATTCTGACCAAACGAGCAATCCTCTGGCAATCCAGAGCTTGCACTCAATTTATCTGTTCATTCGCTGGCTTTGATTTCATCAACGGAAAAGTGGAAAAGCGGAAAACCGGAAAAGCACACGGCGGAAAAAGGTCAAATTCCAGACACGTTCCACGTCTATCTGAGACTAAACCGCAATACGAAATGTACATCTAAATTGCCAAATCGACTAGTTTTTCGGTTTAACTCAGTCAGGGGTCATTCCTCTGGCATTCCAGCGGTGCTTCTCCACGGAATCTGGTTTTTCATATTCAATTAGTCTTTCCCATATGATTGTCTGAAAGCTATTTAAACAATGGTTAAAAAAAAAGATTTTCTTTGTAAGGTCAGCTGGGCAATAAATTTTTTGAATTTAATTTTTAAAATATTCAAAGAATTATACCAAGAATAAAACATACAAAAATTATATCCTAATTATTCATTTTAAGCTCTGTAAAATGTATGCTTCTATGAACTATTGTACCCTTTGTAAGTGTATAAAATCCTGGCTAGAATTGTGTCAGGATTGTCTTCTGTCCAATAAGTGTCAGTTACAATCAATTTGCGAAAGTTTTAAGTCTGGCTTACCGTGTTTCCACTGTCTAGGTAGAACTTATTTCATGAGTTGTGTATATTTTCGGGGCTGTGACCTTTTTTTTGGAACTTTACTGGCAAACACACTGCGTATACGCAATTTTTATACCATTACGTTTTAAAGACGTCTCATATCTCTTTCTATGCTGATTGACAGATAAAATTAAATTTAGAATAAGCTAAGAAATACAAGCAAAAAGCCAAAGACAAACTCTTGGAATATTTTGCGGATCAAAACTGAGGCATTTCGCCTTTGTTTTATGTATGGCCCAGAAAATCCCCAGGCAATATGATTGATTGATGATTAGCCAAGCCAAGACCGCTTCAACGCAGCTTGCTCCAGTTTTAAACTGGCAGAGCTGTGGGAATCTGGGGAAAACTCAAATAGAAAACTCATAGAAAGTCAGCGGTCTGGCTATCCTTGTGCCAGGCATTATGGCGAATCAATCATTTTCATCTTCAACTGCACATTGTGCTCAACATTTCTCAGTTCGTGTTGTTCTGCCTTGGCAAATCAATCTTCGCTCTGTGCCACTACGAAATTTCAATCAACAGTCTGATAATGCATATTGTTGACAAATCGTTAACCATTAAAAAGTCGGAATTGAAATACGTTTCATCTTCTAGTAAAAAAAACCTTTCGTGGTCTAGCTTTTAAAATGTGTCGGCTCTAAGTTAATTTTCTTCACTGAGCAACTCATTTTTTTCCCTATTATCACTCGCGAGTATAAATTTCTCGTCAGTTCATATTTCTTATATGTACCTCCCTGAGGGAGGGAAAACCTCAGAGTCAAAAGGCTTTCAATTGCTAATTAATTCATATGACGCGGTGTCAAAAAGTTGATGTTGCCAGTAATTAAAAGTGTGTGTCTGAGCCCTGTTGTTGTGACTTGGCGTCAACCCACAGAATCTAATTTGCACATTTTAGCACTTAATTCCGAGGAGCTGGGACCTTGTGTCATACATATGTGGCGTATACGTAATGTCAGCGAAAAACCACACAAAATGGCGGCTAATATCATTTAATTTATTCAGTTGTCTCCTGAAAAGGCATTAATTTCGTCACCGACTTTTTAACTTAACCCCTGAGTCTCATGGTGGTTTCCAACTTAATTATTGGCTTGGTACTTTTAAGATTATTTTAAGATAACCAAAAGATTGGTGCCAAAGAAACGACACCAATCCTACAAAAAAGAAAATTTTTTATTAAATTTGGCTAAAGTGACTTTAATATGTTTAAATACCATCACCACTTTCGCGGCACCAGCAGACATTCTATGCTTTTATATGCTTACCAAGTGATAACATAACGTGTAATCAACACATCCTAGTTTATGAACCGCATCATGTAATTTTGCACAGGACATAAAACAAGTCCAGGCCAACACCAGCACCGAAACCAAAACCGGAACCACAAAGGTAAAACATGTAAAAGGGCTTAAATGGGTTGCCGTGTCTGATGCCGGTGATATGAAAAGTTATGTTCCTGGCACAGTATGCTGAATCTAGCCAAGCATACGGCCGGTAAGCAGCATGAACAAAATATGAAAATCAACAAAATGTAGTAGGCCATGGAATAGTGTTTTCTTCCTATACCTGGGAGCCAGAACAAAATAATTTCAGTTTAACATCGATATTCATACCATTCGGGGCTGTTGGACAAGTCGAATTTTCTTTCGATACAAAATTTTCCTATTTTCGTGTTGAGCGATTTAAGTATGTAAATATTCAAAAAATAAATAATCAAATTAATAAAAAATTCATAAATTTTGTAATTCTAGTCTAGACCAGTTCAAAATGTGCTGTAGTTATCCTTGCTGTCCCTATGCTGCCCTGTGCCCTTGCGGTGGCTTGGGACCCAGTGGATTCTACGACCCCTGCTTTGGATCCTTCCTTGGTCCGTGTAATACCTGGTGCGGTCCAAGTGGTCCAGGGTTCTGGGGAGGACGGTGCTGTTAAGCTGCAGGATCCTCCTCTTCAAGGGCCGTCGCTTAACTGGTCTTGTTCTAGACGCCTCCAGAAGAAAATAAGGAAAACTACTTATAATGTTGTGCCATCTCATTCGACAGACCCGATTCCGTGACTAAAGAGTATATTGTTTATAATGAACTCTCCTCTCTACATTAAAATTCGTATTTATTAAACATATTTTTTTATATTTTTGTGCTGTTGGTAGACGGGGAATGGGATATTATCGTCAAGTGTATATAGCCTAAATTAAGAAATCCTAAAAAAAAATAAATAAGAAATATAAATCTTAATCTTCAACCTTGTTGTATGGAGGTATTTTTTCCCTTGCGAAATTTAGAGTGTATTGGTGAGAGAATCTAACATCTGGATTAAGAAATCGCAGAGTGCACTGCGTATGAAATTATTTAGGACCTAAAAAAATGTTATAGGTAGCAAAAGCGAAAGAAAATTTACAAAAAGAAAAGGAACAAGTCGGGAAACTACTTTTCATTTTTATTTAATAATTTTCAGTAAATAATTCACTGTGAGACGGGCTCGCTACAAGTATAAATGAATAAATGCTGACTGATATTAAAAGCTAGGAGTCGGAATAATTCTTATTCAACATTGAGCTCCTTTTTCATTAAAATAGGAGCTTCCTCTAGACGGCCTTTTATGATTTGAATGTTGTCGAGTTGAAAGCTAGAGTTTCCTTTCCAATCCACACGAGAGTCCTCTAAATATATGGAAATTGTTTCACGATTGGTTTCCGTAATCTTCTTCGAAGAACGATTTAGTAAAGAAATAAAATCGGAAGTAATATTCGGGCAAGAATATACCACATTCAAGACCCGTAGGCGTGGGCATCCAAGCAGCAGTTCCAACAAGTGCTTATTAGTAATGGCTGGCATACCCACATGTAGGTATTCAATAGATTTTAGCTTCATGAAGCATTTGACACTGAAATCGTCGTCTTTGCTGCCTAGCCAGAGTTCTCTGAGGGAGGTAATATCACAGATATGCTCTATCTGCTCCTTAAACAGATGCGTTCCAAACAGAATAAGACTCTCTAGAGGAGTGCCTGTCCTACGTACAAGTCCCTCGATGAAACCCGGTCTTTGAAGACGCGCAAAGGGAATTATTATGTGCTTCAGGCGGGGCAGCTCACAAACCCTTTCGAATGCTACATAATCGGGAAGTTCGTGATCGGGAAAGTCTAGCGTTTCCAAGTTCCGGCAGTTCGTGACAATCGCGGAGAAGGTTTCGTTGCTTAGGTTTTTGGTCACTATTCCAATTTTAAGAAAGTTCAGATTTTTCATCTTCAAGCAACAATCGGTAAGGTATTTGGCCTCGAATTCGGAAATGCCATCTATCTCTAGATGCTGTAGTTTCTCCAGCACGTGGAGTCCTTTCCCATTGTACCCGGGAGCTTCCAAGACTAGCTTTCTCAGGCTCGGTAGATTTTCTGATAGATTGAAGAAGAACTTCTCATAGACATCATTGCTACTAAACCTTACCAAGGCATGAAGAGTGTTTATATTCTTCAATTGGTTCAAGTCCGGCCATCGGGGTCGCCTGAAAGTCATCGTGAGGCGCCGCAGCACAGGGCAGTGCATTCTTAGTAACCACAACTGCTCCTCGGCTGTGGAGGAGGGATCCAGTGGTGACTCATAGCTGATCACATGCTCGTTGACTTGTTCCACTAGATATTCCAGATCAGAATCCGCGAGGGTGGTGGTGATGGATTTAGTGAGGTGTTTGTACTTCCGCTGGGCGTAGTTCCTGTACTTGCGTTCTATTTCCCGATTGGAACGCGCCAAATTCAACTGATCTTTTACGCTTAGAAGTGAAAATATTCTTTCTAAGCAATCGTTGTTCAGGATTAAAATATTGGACGAGGCTTTGGATGAAACTCTCTGGGAGCTTGAAGCATGCCCAGCTGAATCTTCCGCATTATTTTCACTGATTTTGCACTTTTTTGCACTCGAGGAAGAGCTTTTTATAGGCGATTCGCTCATACTTATTCCGCTCGCTTGGACTCGACAGCTAGAGACTCGAAAACCGACTGACTTGGCTATGGCGAGACGGCATTATGATCTCATTCTGTATACTTTGTGCAATAAAAGTGGGTACTTCCCCGATTACTTGTATATTGCCGAGTGGACATCAACATCGTAGATTACTGGAGCTAAAATAGCTTTATAAATCAGTGATGACAAATATGTGAGGTTGTGGGCTTTTTACAGAGTGTGACTTTTTCACTTTCGTTATCTTTATATAGGTACATACATTCGGTTATAAATCGGTCAGGAGATATCAGCTGTGCTTAAGAGAAAGATAGTATAACTCTTAAAGCACTCTTAAGCCAGTACTAGTTCTCTTTATACAATAAAAAAGTTACATGGGCTTTACCTTAGTTGTTTTTTAGTTTTATTTTTATAAATAAATTAAAATACAAAAATTTTGAATTATAAACTAGTTTAGGAATTAAAATTATTCGCCTCGCTTCTATTACTTATTTAGTTGAAGAGTCTAAAAGCAATTAAATCTGAAATAATAATTCCTTTAATATAAAAGAATCTAGAATTCTGTCCATATTTTAGTCCACGAGTCTGTACCTTTATCAAAGCCATTTACCCCTCCCAAGTTAAAAACAAATATTTTAATAGAAACAATTTAATAAAAATTCAAATCTTCGACTGTAACATAATTTTAAAGTCTGTCTCCATCCCAGCAGGCTTCCAGGCTTGTTAGCAGGCTCCATCCTAGCAGGCTCGTTCTATTTCAGACCAATTTTGTATTCTTGAGCGTAATCGAAAGCAGTCCTGGAACATGGGTTATTAGCAGCAGCGACCTCCCCAGTAGCCGGGTCCACTAACCCCACACCAGGAGTTGAATGGACCGTTGTAGGCTCCAAAGCATGGATCGTAGAATCCACTGGGTCCACTTCCACCGCAGGGGCACAGGGCGGCGCAGGGATAGCAAGGAAAGCTGCACATATTGCCAAGTCCTGAAAAGAATAAATAATTTGGTTAATCCGAAAAAACAATTTTTTTTTAAAATTTTATAATTTAAATAAAAATTTGGATGAAAATTCTCAAAAAAAAAAAACTTACAAGAAATTTAAAGAATAAATTTGGAATTTATTTTATGTACAGTCCGAAGAGTTTGAACTTCTATTTGAGAATGAGACTTACATCATTCGGTCTCTGGCTCGACACATTTTTTGAAGGCTACAAGGCCTACTTGTTTTAACTAAAAATTTTAGCACTTTGAAGAAAATCGTAATCTTGAAAATAAAGGTACCAATTTTTTAAATCGTAGGAGGCTTTGGTTTATTTTCAATTTGAGGCATTGGATGTAGAGCCGACATATCATCAGTCAGCTAGAGGCTCCCGTCCGGTCAACACCTTTTGAGCTACAAAAAAAATTATATAACGAAATTCAAAATTGATTTTGTAAATCCTAATTTCAATAATGGCTAATAAGTAAGAATTTTGTAATTCAAATTTAATATTTACTAAGTGTATTTTAGTTTATAGACGGACACACAAATGGAAGATAAAAAAGAAAGCTTGCTTGCACTCTGCGGACGTAAAGGCAATTTAAAAAAATAATTGCATAAACGTATACATACTTCTTGTACACTAAAAATACACAGATGATATGCCTTAATATACATGTTAAATGATAAATACATGTTAAATGTTTTAATGAATTGGTAAGTACATTATTTGTTTTCTATAATTCTTAACTAACATAAAAATACTTTCTTAGAATTAGCCAGGTATTGGAATTAGGGTAAAGCACCGAGATGCTTGCATATTGTTAACGAGTACACCTATTTTGGTAAGTATTTAAAAATACATTACCTGGAATCTACACATCTAACATCGTTTTTTTATTTTACGCAGGCGATGTCAGCAAGAATGCATCCCAACCATTAACATGTTCATTGTATTGAAGTAATACTTTATTAGGGTTATACAATCATATATGTCATGTCTACGCCAGGTGTTTTTGAATAACTTGAAATTAAAGGGATATAAAAATTACAAAGAATACTTTTATTGGGTGTTGGAAGATGGGGAATAAGGTTCTTGGTACCTCTGCAGCCCAGAGTATAGGTTTTTCTTGAACTTTATGGATGTAGATGGTTCTTTTTACAATTGTGATTGGCCGAATTACTTGACAGATCCTATGAATAGGATCTTAATAAATAAGTGAACAAATTGTCTGTTTCATAAAGCAATGGAGTTATGGTTTCAGTAAAAAAAAGTAAAAAGCATAGTAGGCCTGGGTTATAATTAAAATATTTATTGTATGATATGATTCCAAACTATTTCAGTCTGCTTCTGTTAGTCAAACAGAAAACTCAAAATTCAAAACAAAAAATGTTTTAATAAATACAACTTATTCGTGTCTAACAAACCCCTTCATCTTTTTCCTAATTGTCGCCTGTTTCTGTGGAGGATTTCAAGTCGTTCAGGATGTGTTTCCCGTGTTGCAATCCTTGTTGCAGTCCCTGCTGCTCACCTTGCTGCTCTCCCTGCTGCAGTCCTTGCTGCAGTCCTTGCTGCACTCCTTGCTGCTCTCCTTGCTGCACACCCTGCTGCTGCTATCCATGCTGTGGTTCCTGTGTATCCTGCTGTGGCCGCTACTGTTAAATAGACCTACAACAAGCTATATCCTCCAGAAAGAAGTTTAGGTGTCAATTGCTAATCAAATTTATTAAAAAAGTAGACTTACAATAGTTTAAAATGTAATAAAAAGTTCACCAAATACATAAGAGCTTTTTAATTTCTTATCAATTCAATTTTGCTTTGGTGCTTAGCCAGCATTCAGCCTGGCCTGGCTCAATCCTTCGGCCAATCCTTTTTGCTTCCTGTATGTAACTTGCATTCAAAGTACTGCGGTCCCTGCTTAGGACTTGTTTGCTCTGGGTGTCTTGGCTTCTGTCTAATGGTGCATGGCCAATTCCTTCCCCTCTGACCTATTTCTCAGTCTCCATTGAGAGTCTGCATTTTTCCAATTCAACAGTTAATAAATCCCAAGGATGCATATCTGTGCAGAGTGCAGACCAAATTGAAGTTGTCTCGACCACTTCTAACCCTTTCCAGTTTAACCCATTTGTTGCGGATTGGAATGACTTTCAAAGCTTTTAAAATCATAAAAAATGCAATTAGATATAACGTGTAACAGTAAGTCCATTATTAGCTTAAATATATTAATATTAAAATATCCTACACAAAAGTTTCATCGCATTGACCCTATTGGGTTAATTTATGGTCAATTTTTTTGCAAAAAGATAAAAAAAAAACTGAAGTATTGAGCTAGCCAAATTTTAAGAAGTTGAATGTGTACTTTTTTTGCATAATCAGCAATTTATTTCAAAGAAAAATACAGGCACTCAAATATTGCGTATACGCCCAGTTAGATGTGGAATATATAAATATTTAAAATATTGCAGTTGCAATATTTTCTATTCTATGGACTCTAAAAACTCTGTTTATCGAAATGACCACAAACCAAGAGACAATTAATCTCAATTATTATCATTGAATTATGTATGCAGGTCGGGTGAAAAGCTTTTCGTCCATTCTTTTTTTTTTGGGTCTCGAGAATTAGGACTCTGCTTTGATGGGGTCTGTTTAGAATGTCCAAGGATTGTCAGCAAATCAGGTGCAAAACGTGATGTGCTTTCGACAAAGTGCACATAAAATAAAGAATACACAACAACGATGGCCAACGATGGAAGGTGGAAGGTGGAAAAAGTTTTAATGCGCTTAGGCGACGGGCGATACACGGACGCTGAATGGCAAAATTGTATATAAAATGCTACATAAAGTGGTATATAAAGTAAAGAAAATCAAAACCAAACCAAAGGCAAGTCAAAAGGACAGTCCAGCACTTAAAATCAACCAGTCACCTTGTTTTTGTTTTTATTTCTCTGTCCAAAAAGGACGAACCTATGCGTGAGTAATTTTTCTTAACGAGAAACGGCAAAGATGATGGCAATGGTTGGTTAAATAATGTCCAGGACCTTTAACAGTGGCTTAACAGTCAGGACCTGAGCTTTACCGAAAGCCATTTAAATGCCCATTTTAATGAAGCATAACCAAGGAGGCGGTTTCAAAATTAAAAGTTTTAAACAAGTAGCCTTTGACTTGGCTGGCACAAGTGGGTAACAAGTACTTTCATTTTATTTTCATTCAGTGCCACACTACTTCCAAATTCTGAACACAAATTTTAGTGCTTGTAAAAATATAAATTTTAAAATGGCTTTAAATAAAATTGAAGGTGTAACAAATATTTCAAAAAATCTTAATAATTGGCGTAATGGTAAGATAAAGGATTTCAAAAAGCTTAATACCTTATAGAGTTTTTTCTGAAAAATGTGACTAAAAAATAAAAAATGTTTATTTATCTGGCAGTCGTTGTGTTTGTGTGTCAGAAGTCACGAAATGCCCATGGCGTGTCGCCCAAAGTGGCCGAAGAAAAGGCTGCTATAAGCGATGCTGCTCCGGGGAAATCTATGACGAAGACTACATCGTTTTCCAAGAACTCACCAGTAAGATTGTTTTTCGAGACAGCTCCAAAGCCGACTCATGACAGGACCATCGAACTGAAGAAGGCTGCCGCCCAGCTAAGTCGCAGCAACGACACTCTCAGAGCCCATTACCAACAGAAGCGAAATACCTTGAAAATGGTAAAGGAGGAGGTGAAGCCGCAGACTAGTTCGAAGCTCACCGATCTGATGGCCCAGAATGTCTCAACCACGGAGACCAGCCAGCAGGCACCTAAGAAACTCGCCAGCAAGAGTGAGGATTTGAATGCGAGTCCTACCAGCTTTGTAGATTTTAAGCCGCAAAAGAGGAATTCAGGGTCTTGGCAGATCACAAAATCTCCCATTAAGGTCAAGAAATCAAAGTCTGAGAAGAAGATGCGTCAAGAGTGTCCAAAGAGACCAGTGGAAGGTGATAATATTATATCCACTTTAAGATCACCTCAACCAAATAATCGGGAAAGCAGAAATTTAAATTCTAAAAGCCTGAACAACTTGCATATGGGTACGAAAAGGTTTTAAAAATGTATATTGTTTTGTACAACCTTGTTTTAAGGTGAGGTTGGGCAGAACCAAAGGCGCCCAGAGAGTTTTACCAGTTCCAGTAATCCATGGAAATTCGGTAAAGATAATTTTATTGAATATATATCTTGAAGTTAACTAATAATCTTCATTTACAGGTTCTGTATCCATACCCCGTTTAAACATTTAGATTATGTATGGATTATTTTGAAATCTATTTTGGTATAATTTCGTTTTAAATTCGTAATGTGGAGACCCAAAATTCAAATCAGCATTGCCAGTGAGGTGCAGTGTTCAAAATTATATCGAAAGGATACAGTCCAAATGAAAAAAAGTCCTTGGATACTGATTGGATTTTTAAAAGATTTTTGCAATTTAATACAATTGATTTAAATTTGATTATTTTGGCGGACCAGTATGCCAATCAAGTATCAAATTTAAGAAAATAAAGTTATGGCACCGAATTTTAATGCTTTTTAATAAATAGTTTTTGTGGGGCTATATTTAAAGGCTAAGCTTGCATATCACATTTTGCAGAGAACTCATAAATTTCGATTTATTTCTTTGTAAAGACATTAATAATTTTAATTCGGCTGACTTTGCATTGTTTTAAAGGGAATAGTTAACCTCTTTATGGTAATTTTTATGACTTTAGCTTAAACCATAAAAAACTGTGCTGAAATCGATGCATTATGTAGTGCTCCTCTTCAATGTAACCACTTGGGATAGCAAAAACGCCTACATGTATCTAATTCAACCATCTCTTGTCTAGCATGGGGAAGAAAAATTAATTAAAACTTACCTCAATGAACTGACAGTCAATTAAAGTTTACGCAAGCGACGACAACAAGTCAACAGCACAGTATACGAAGATACGAAGGAGAGCCATGTGGTGGATGTCCTTCTCCTGTAGTGGGGAGGACAATGACGACCGAATGAAATGTTAAACGCGCCATTAAACGCGACCCACGAGACTTCTAGTATGAGAACTTTCGCAGAGATGGCTCGTTTATTGGCCAAAAACAAACAAGGGCCGAAACAGTGGAGAGCAAATGCCAAATGTGGCAGAACAAAACTCGGCAGACATCCCGACCGACTCTGCCGGGCAAAAACAAAGAGCCAACTCGGAGGCTGGCAAATAATATGAAATAAACTGAAGGAGGCACTCCACCGGTCCGCTGGTCCAGTCCTGTTTGTCTTGGACTTGAGGAGAGACCACCACAGGACGTGGAGCAGGACCTAGGAGCCGGCGCAACAGCCAGCAGTAGCAAAACAATTAACAATCTCCGTTTGTCGTAATTGACTCAAATGAGCGCAAACAATAAATAAAACAGTAACTGTGGCAGTAGCAACAGCCGGGGAACTGCCAGTAAAGCGACCAAAGCCGTTGACAAGTGGTCAGCAAAATTGTTTTATCTTGGCCACAGATGACAGGCAGACTAAATATGGCGAAAAATAATAGATCCTAAAAAGGCATTACACAACAAACTTAGAAACAAGCTGTATCAGGTACTTGTCACATTTTAGCATTGCCTTTTATTCGTTATTTTTCGTTGCCTATTTATAAGGTCTTAGGATAAAACTATTTTTTTTTTATAATCCTAAAATAAATAATTATTTTGCAAATTGATTAAAATCTGTTGTAATTTTAAAAACATATACCTTAGTCTTCTTAAATTCTTCATTATTGAGTTGTGTGATCTTGTCAAGTGGCCATTATCCAAGTCCACTTTCCCTTGGCTTTCATCGCAAAAGTAGGAGTCTATAGTTTGTTTTTGACTTACCCCATAAGCACTAGCAGTCCAGCACACATCCTTCCGCATCCTGTACACAATTGCTCGTAGCAAAATCAGGACTCTCGACCCAAACGGGATGCATTCTTTTTGCCCTTTCACATTTCTTGTCGCTTTTCTCCTGTTGGCGTTGGCATGTCCTTCTGTTTCGATTGTTTGTTCAACTTGTCAGCAGTCCAGCAGGGTCAGGATGTGCTGTGTCCTTTGAGCAACCCCTTGCCCTGAAAGTGGCCATCTTTCTCCAGACGCCCAAGGAGCAGCATGCAAACTTCCACACAACTGTATGTGACGCGAATATCCCGCTTTTTGGCCAGATGCTTGCACTTCAATATTGTATTTTTAATTATTCAAGCTTTCAAGTGGACCGACTCCGGCTGGCATTGTGTTTCCACTTTCCAGACAAGTCCAAAATGATACGAGTTTAATGTAGGGTCCTTGGCTTGGTCAGTTTTCGAGTGGACAATGACAAATGTCACAAACATGGGAGCATTTCAAGTGGAACAGACCAAGAGTGGTCTGTATAAACGAGTTGAAATAACTATTGTTTTAATCTCTATTGTTTTTTACTCCAGTCATAAGTAAATAATAAAGGTTTCCATACAAGTCATTTTTGAAAAAATTTAAAGAAATATTTATATATTTAAAAAAAAACTAGAAAGGTTATTTTAAAAGAAAAAACCCTCCTCCGCCCCCTGAAAAATTCATCAGTCACCGCGTTGTCAAAGTTCGCGGCAGAAATTGAGAAAATTTTAGCTGAAAGTCTGACGATGCCAGGACGTCGGGCCAACTCCACAAAGGGCGTGCAGTGTGATGGCTCTTACTACTTGGTGTCCTGGCTATGTCCTGAATGTGTCCCGCCGCCGCCTGCATAAGTGCCAGGGCGAAAGTGTGTTTGCCGCAAATAAATTTGATTTGCATGTGCAAATGAACGTGGAATTGAATTTTCTTATGCATGAAATGTGCGCATAATTGGTCTTTTGCCCCCTCAAAGGAGCAACTGCCAGTCATATCCTTTATGCAGCCATTCACGCCTAGCAAAGTGCTTTAGAACCTGTCACTTTGTAATTGCTTAGATATAAAATATGAATTAATCAATCTAACCAAAGGGAATAATTTTTTAAATATTTGGCCAACATTCCCTAACTTTTAGGTAAAGTAGTATCCAAGATCGAAAACCATTAGCGATGTCCTTCAGATAAAAAAATATTTAAAAGCATTTTGTGGTTTCAATGCCGTGGACTTCCACTTCCTTACTTGCATTTGGCCAATACCCGGACTTGGGCAGTCATTAGCATTTTTTGGCGGAACAAAAAGAAAAAAAAAGGTAACTTTGTAGATGCTGGCTACCTTAAGTGCCTTACCCCAAAGGTGTCGACCGGATTTTCTTTGCAAACATATTTTAGTGTCAGCTCACTGTTGGCCCACGAACTTCCGCCGGCGGGCTAATGTGATTTTTATTGGATCTATGTATAAACTTAAGTGTCAACTTCCGGACTTTCCAGCCACTTTTGGTGGTTGCTTTCAAATTTGCATATTTTTTTGTTGGCTTACAAAATTTAAACCAGGTTAAATTTTCCGTCGAAATAGTTAGATTTCCAGGCAAGCTTACATTGTGCTACTAACTGGCGTACTTTTTTCAGTTTCCCGTAAAAGTTTTCGACATTTTATCAAAGTTTAAAATAAATTCGCATACAATGTGTTTCATCTCGTTTCGGTGACAGACAGTTTCAATTTATTTCGACTTTTTTAATGCAAAAATTTAATTTATATATTTTGTATTTAAGGAAATTTAATAATTGGCTTTTTAAATAAAGAACCTGAGGCTTCGTTACTATTTTTTTTGTTTGTAAGCCAACATGTTTGGATAAAAGTGACGTGCCACATGCGTCCTTTGGCAACCTGATGGTTTCGTTGTACAAATACCAACGCGTACAAAAAGTCAGGAATTTTTTTAGTTCTTTTGAAGCTTGTTTTGAACGGGTTTGGTCTCTGGTAACTTTTGTCATTTTTAGCACTCTAAAAGCTAAATTAATTACGCTAATTGAAGAGAAAAAACACGAAGATAAAATTAGTCTAAAAGCGAAGGAATACGGTTTCAATAGTCACAGACTTTGATTCATATCCTGTAGTGAGTTTTCACTGAATAAAAAATGTCATAATCCAACCTGGCTTTAACCAAAAAAGATGCAAAAGGGGGTATACATTTTAAGATCGTTTATGGATAAACTTGAGCAAAGGATTGAGGCTATTTATAAAACTAAAAAGAATTCTTTTGACCCTATTCCATAATCTTTGCAATAAAAAACCCACCATAATATTCTCCCAGTGGCTCTTAAAAAAAAACTTTCAAGCTAGAAAAAACCTAAAGAACTAATGATGACATATCGATTTATTTATCCAAGGATACTGACTGGCTTGTCCAATAATTTTCGGACACTTTGAGGACTACTGTAAGAGAATTTAATGACTGGCCAAGGAATAAAGATGGAGATACGACTTTTGCTGACTTCAGCAATGGCGATTTGTTTTCATTTGCCAAACTGCCTGAGCTGAATGTATACTATTGCAAGCGGAAATCATTAAAAATTTCCGGCATATTTGGCAGCATCAGTGATTGTTACGTCCTCCCCCTGAATTGCTCCTCCCTCCCCCCGCATCCTTAGTGAAAAGAAAATGAATTGTAAGAAAAATGGAAAGACGAAAAAATTGCAATAACCACAAAAGCTTTTTGGAGTTTTCAGTTTCACGATCTTCTTTTCGGCACAAAGTTTTTTCGGCTACGCGCCCACAGACCAAATCGGTTTTAGCTCTTAGCCAAGTTAGGAAGCGTTGCTAGCCGTCAATTCTTTTATCCCCATTGTGGCCGATGCTGTTGCTCTTTGGCCTTATTCTTTTTTTTTTTTGTAGCTTCGCCATCCTTGTTTCGCCCTTTGCGCGTTAACCCGGTTAACAAAAGGACGCTGAATATTCCCACAGCTCAATCGAATTTCGCCCCAACCAATTTGTACGCAAATCATTTTATCGGCCACAACAGGAGCCAAAGCGCCAGAGTCATCGCCACCTCGTCATAAATTTGAATTTATTGTGGTTTCAGATACTCTAATATGCAGCCTAATAGTGTAAGATTCAAAACCAAAGATCTTTGGCTTTTTCCACTTATCCTTATTCTTAAAAAAAATAGAAGCTTTAACTATATTTAACATTTATTTAAAAAAAATAGTGTATATGTATATTTTATTTGAGTTTATATTTCCTTCCATCAAAGGCTGCGAATGAGTTGAAGTCCGAGGTCCTGTGGGTTTTCCCTGCCGTCTGGCATTTTGCATTTTCCATAAAAATATGATTGTTGTGTTTTCTTTTATTATTTCGCCTTCGTCCGTCTTGCCTTCTTGGCTTCGAAAGCTTATTTATTTATTTTGCTTTGCTTTTTCTTCTGCTATTATAGAAGAACTCGGAAAAAAAGGGACACCAATGTTGACATGGCCAAGGGGAATTCACAATTTATCATTTATGATTATGAAGATGGCTCTGGCGATGCATTCGGGAACTTTCGGGACAGAGACCTCTTGGGCTATCTTGGGCCACTCTGCCCTCCAAAGTTTTCCACTAATCTCGACCATTTTGTGAAAAGTTTCTTTCTTTTGATAGGACTCTGCAATTTGCATATTTATTTAAATTCTTGCTTGGGAAAAAACAAAGTCTTTTGGCAAATCTTTGTTTGGTGTGAACATGCTTTATTGGTCATTGAGTTTAAGTCAAATTATTGCTTGTTTTTATAAAAGGAGTGAGGTTAAAATTGTGTAAAAAATTGTCTAGTAATTCCCTAAGTGAAAACCATATTTCTCATAGGCAATGGTTCATTTATCAAGTCGCTGTTTGGCCACCTGGCCCTTTCTTTAGCGGTAATTGCCACACGGCAACTTTTCACCAGTCCACCCTCTGACCTGTATTGGTGGAAGGGAATCGGAACGGATAAAGGATATATGTACGATATATGCTTTATTCGAGCACAATGACAAACAATCGAAAACTTTCCAATCTGAGCGACTAGAGAGACGACAGAGTCCCGATCCCATTCCAACTTTGATGACTGTGCGGTGGCGCATAAACTACATGGCAAAGTACAATATTGAGTGCTATTACACCCACCCACACTCACATACGAAAAGAAAGGCAGAGAAATGCGAAGAAAGGGGTGAGGAGTAGAGAGAAAAAGCGGGACAACTTTCGGCCATCTCTTGTAAAACTTCACACGCTCAGTGGACCCCGACGAGGCAGAAAACTTGAACTTTTAATTTGTTCTAAAGTAAATTTTAGCCAAAAACTTTAAGTCATATTGGTAGTATGTTGGTTTGGCTACTGGAATTCCCTCTCCCGCGTCACCCATACGTGCTGTTTTCCGTCGCGACAAGCTTACATGGGATGAGCCTTAGACGGGATGGCTTGGCGGCAAAATTTCTTCTCGACCACAATCGACACAAAAGCAGCCCACACACTTACATCACATTGTTTCTAAAAAGTTTTGTAATTAGATTTACATTTAAATAAAATAGAAAATTCTACTTATAAGGTCTGAGATTTCTGGAGAAATTTTCAACTAGTATAATGGTAATGAACTATATTACTCATACGCAGTGTTGTTTAATTTTGTCTTGAATTAAATAGAAACATTACCTAGCCTTACACCACTTTGAGGAATGGCTAAAAAAAAAACACAAAAATGTCGACAACATTAACCAGATTAAAGCAGACATAATCAATCTAGGCAATTGGCTTACTGACTGAATGAACGACTGCTTGACTCCCTGAGTGACTGACTGACTCAATGACTGTCGTCCAAGATGTGGATGGAAAGCCATAGACAGCAACACCTGGAAGTGGGCTAGGCAAGCATCGCGCTGACACAAAGAACTTCGTTTGATTAAGCAAAATGCCTTTGGCAGGCAACATGACGTGGCAGCCCTACTGCCTTTCTCCTCATCATTCCATGCCACCTCATTCCCTTTGTGCCTCTGCCAAATGCAATCAGATTACACTTCGTTTGGTGCCAGGGTGTTCCCCCCTTTAGGTTTTTTTCTATTTCTACTCCAGCTAAATTGTCAGCGATAACACGGCGAGCAGAATAAAACGGAAAGGTCCTGGCTCGAATGAGAAGCGGGCAAATATTATCCAGAGTTCCCTGTTAAACATCAAGTATACGTCGAGGTCACCCAGCGCATCTTCTTGTCGTGGAATGCCCAACAGCCAGGGCGAGACGGTGAAATACATTCCATATCTCCAGCACAACCATATTATAATTTGTTTCACCTCGGGCAGTCCGGCATAGTTACAAAGTAGCGTCGTAAAAACGTCAGAAACGATAGTGTGGGGTAATCCCCGCAAGGCTGCCGCCCATATAGTCGGATATGTGTTTATCATTATATTCCTACATTTTCGGCTTACAACTTTTCCTTTTTTTTGGTAAGGGAATCCCCTGCTCGAAGCAAGTTTCATTATCAAAGCTTCAAATAACAAATCAATTGTTTCATTTTTCATTTTGAACAAAAAACATTGTCATGATCATTCATTCAAAACATTGCTTTATAAGAATATAAGACATTATATTTTATTTATATTTTTGAAGCCTTTTTCAGCCAAAAATAGAAGATTAAAGCAAAAAACTCTGCTGGAAGGACTTTATGATTAATGTTTTAATGTATTCCATTTTTACACTCAGTTAAGACATTTTACATGTTTCTTTGGAAACTTACACTGTGTATTTACATACAATACAAGCATTTAGAGGCGCCATCTAGGAGTCAAAACTGCGATACGTTTTTGTGTTCTTTTGAGATTTTTTTAAATTTAACACATTTTATAAATATTTTAGGTGTGGTATTCAACAGGTTTATTAAATTTTATTTATTTTATTTTTTTGTATTATTAAATAAGTTTATAATTGATACCAAAGCAGCAGGTGGTGGCATTCAGCTACCTAGCTCTGCTCCACATCTCCATAGAAACCGTCAAGGCGACCAAAACAAATGCCAACCCCCAGTCAGTTGCAATCATTCACAGAAAATAAGTGAAACAATAACATTACAATAATAATAATATAAAAAATAAAGAAAATATGACTACCAATGAGCAACAATTACCGGAGCAAACTAGAAGCGAAACGGATGCAGTTCCTCCGCCGCCACCAACGGCGGCTGGCAGGCCCAGACCTCCCACATCACAGCTTTTTTCAGTGAGTTCTAAAGTCTATAAATTTCTTTAGGCAATAAATTGAAATTGTTATTATTTAGCGAGGAAATCTAATCAGTAGCCGGGCTGGAGGTGACAAAACTGCCTTGGCCCGACCTTCGACTGCTGTTCGGGCCGTGGGCTATGCGGCCAATAACAGCGGCTCTGCTGGCCAAAGGTTTGACCAATTTTTCCTAGAAAAGGCCAAACAACAAACCCTTTCATCGGCCAATGCAGCTGTAGATGCAGCCAAGGAAGTCAAGTTAGTAAAAAGGACACAATTATCCTTAAAAATCTATTTTAATGCATTGTCATATATATTTTAGTCCTCAAATCAAGTACAAGAATCTGGAAGCCAAGATTGTTAAGCTTCTGGAATCCTCCATTGTGTTATCCTGGCAAAGTTCTGCTACTCGGTCAAATGTTGATGTTAATCCTGATACCAAATCCTCTCTGACGGAGGCCTTGAACAAAGCCAAGGAAGCATTCTCTTTGGATCGAACTTTGCACCGATTTCGGGATCAACAAGGAGAAAATGTTTACCACAACTTTGATTTAACCTATGCGGTAGGGGATAATTATCTTACTTCTATATATCTTTCAACAGACTATCCTATTTTAAGGTATTTTTCAATTTGGCTGAGCAATATGAACGCAATGATCTGCACATCGAGGCCCTCAACACCTACAGTATTATGACCAAAAACAAGATGTTCCCGCAGGTCAACCAGTTGAAGATCAACATGGGAAATATCTACTACAAGATGGGAATCTACCAAAAGGCCGTCAAGATGTATCGCATGGCCCTGGACTCGGTGCCGAAGACTTTGAGTCAATTGCGTCTGAAGATCACCGAAAACATCGGAGTCCTCTTCGTCCGGATGGGCTCCTATTCGGATGCCGCCTCCAGCTTTGAGTTCATCATGTCGGAGCGCGGTGACATCAAGAGTGGCATCCACCTGGTTCTTTGCTACTACGCTTTGGGGGATGTGGAGAAAATCAAGACGGCGTTTCGCAGCCTGTGCGATGTCCAGGCGGGGGAAGCAGACACCGATCTGGATAGTGAAAGTCAAATCCTGAAACTGCAACAACAGGCTGGAAATGCGGCTGGTGTCCAGGATTTGCAAAAGTCCTTGGATCGGGAGGATAATGGTGGTGCTGATGTGGCGGTTATCGATGCCGAAGGTGGGGGTACCTATGAGAAGGTCCAGGAGACCGTCAAAACCTCGGCCAAGGAAAAACAGCGCTACGTGCTCCAAGCTATTAAGACGGATGAACTTGCTCTGTACACAAAAAATCGAAGGAATGCGGAGAAGAGATCCATTACGATGATAGTTGACTTGATTTCGCCGATAATCGAGGAGAATTATAATGATGGTGAGGACTAGGAGTACAGACTTTGTTTAATTATACTTATAATACCGCCCTCTAGGCTACAATTGGTGCATTGAGATCATCAAGACTTCGAATCTGGCCTGGTTGGCCAACGAGCTGGAGCTCAACAAGGCCCTGGTATATTTGCGTCAAAACGATGTAACCCAGGCCATCGAAACTCTGCAGATGTACGATCGCAAGAGTGAAGGATCCATGACAGCCAGTGCTCTGACCAACCTTAGCTTCATCTACATAAGTGTGAGTTTTGAAAGACCATATGAAAAATAATTTATTATATTCATGACCAATGATTCTCTATTAGTTGGGCAATCTGGAGATGGCCACTCATTGCCTCAATCAGCTGCAGGAGATTGGAGCCTTGGAGACGAGTCCAATGGCACTGATTAATGCCAGCATTGTGGATTTGAAGAAACAGAATCTCAGCTCTGCCCGCGATCGCTTGGAACGGGCATTGGAGCTTCAACCAACCAACTTTGAGGCCAACTACAATCTAGGATTAGTGGCTTTGGCACAGCAGGACTATGAGCTAGCTGAGGAGCGATTTGAGCTGCTAAAGGCTCAGTTGATGGTGCCACATTCCGTGCAACATAGTCATGTGTTTTACCAGCTGGCCAAGTTGCAGGAACGTCGCCTAGGAGTCGGATTTAAGGTATTCTTTGGGTTATTTTTCATTTTAAAGGTGCGCCAATATATCTGTTTCAGGCTAGCGCTTCTCCAGGAGCTGCTTTACAAGCCTACCTCCAGGTTCTGGGCATATCCGCGGCGGATATCGATTCGCGTCTTTTCGAAAAGGTGGGATCCCTGTACGAGCAGATCCAAGATCACCAGGAGGCGAATCAATACTACAATGAGGCGTATCGCATCAACATGAGCGACATTAGCATTGCCAGCTCCATCGGCTCCTACTACATAAAGCTCCAGGCCACAGAAAAGGCACTCTACTACTACGAGCGAGCGGTTCTGGCCGATCCCAATGACCCGAACCTGATGTTACGCATCGCCAGTTGTTTCCGGAACTCGTATCTGCCACCCAAGCAGTATCTGGGAATGTTCCAGAAAATATACGCCCGCTTCCCCGAGAACCTCACCTGTGTGCGGGCCCTGATGCAGGTGACCAAGTCCCTGGGCCTGACCGATCTCCATGAGCGGTATGCCAATGACTATGCCCGTCTCCACAAACAACAGCAGGAACGGCAGAATGAGCAGCGTTATCAGCAGCAGCGCCTTTCCTCAGCCACATCCTCCAGCAGCCGGATGAGGGGTATGAATTGTAGTCATTTTTTTTTATCGTTTATAATATTTATTGCTCGCAAAAAAATACCCTACGAAGTGAATGAAATGAGTTAACTACAAGGTCAAAATTATCTTTCTATATTTTTCGGAAAAAATGTTATTCCCATTCATTCATGATAGAGAAGTTCCATTTGAAATTCCCACACTTTCCGGTTCATTGTGGGACTGTGAGTCCCTCAGTGGGACTCAGTTCCATTCCAATCCATTCATTTTAACATACATTATGAGTAAAGCCTTGACTGACTGACTGATAAGAAAAAAGCGATTGTGGTTGCATGTATTTCAATAAACTAATTTTGAAACAATTTTTTTAGCAGTTCGTCTATCGAACGAGGAAAGGTTCCAGGAGAACAGCGACTTATCCAAGAGCATGACATATACGCAGAGTCCTGCCACGTTTTCTGGTAAGTCCTTTCTACAAAACTATTTCAGGACTTTATAAATATATGTATTTGTACTCGGCAGTTCAACAGTTTGATCCTTTGGGTCCACCAGCGGAACGTCCTCGAACGGGTATGTATCGAGGCCAAAAGAGCAGAGACGACTCGGACGATGAGGCAGAAATGAACGCCGAGAGCTTGTTGCCCATCTAAGATCTCAAGTTATTATAAAAAAATAAAGTTTTAATTAAAAAAACAGGGAATTTTGTAATTTTTTAATATTATCTTTATTACGCTTTTAAGGCCAATAATACATAAATCTTTTTTCTTCTGATATAATTAGGTTTGGAATTTAAAATGATGACCGTTCTATTGAAAATTTGACCCTTGGTATAGTCAATATTTGCTTAAAGTACGTAATTAACCATCCTTATTAGCCAAAGCGTCGAGTTCCTCGCCCGTTTTCACCTTTCTCGAATGACACGCTAATTACATTACGTGATTGATTTATTGAGTAAAATATTATTATGTGCTTCTATTACAAGTTTAAAATTTTGGGCTCCTCATTGGTAAATTTTTTTAGAGAAAGGTTTCGGAGTGACAGACACGACGGAGTAATCTAATTTCAATGTACAATACAGAGTTCAGACAGTTACAAATACATAAACAGAGTTTTCAGATCATAATTTTTTGATATAGAATCGCCTATTATTTCCCACCCCTTTTAGACCTGCTCGTTCCAGCGCGTTTTCCGACGATAATTGTATAAGAAAACGAATAATAACTCCTACAAATCAAATGGTACAAAACAAAATGGATCGTTTCTCATACTCACAGACTGCTTCCAATTATCAAAATCAATCTTAATTTTCTCTCTAACGCTTTACTTTCCATTTCTCTCCCCACTCTCATATCCAAATTTCCCCAAATAAAAGGCTGATGGGCTTCCTTTAGAAGCTCATGTAGCCGCGCGAGGTAGAACGGCGTCTGGCACAGAGATACGAGATGAGAACAACCAAAATCAGACCGGCCAAGGCAATACCAACAGCAATGGGCACAACATCCGAGGTCTCGGAGCTATCGCAATCGTGCACAGTTGAGAACCCGTTGGCCTTCTCCGAAAGGAACGCCTCCACCTGGACTTGGCTGACGCGAATCCAACCAATCTCCTTCTGCGAGTCCACAGTCTCGGTCATGTTCAACTTTTGAGCCCGTGTGCAATGGTAGGACATATTTTCGGGTGTCTTGAATTCGCCAGTGCTGTTATGGAACAGCTGAATAGTTTGGCCCTCTGAAATTGTATTTAAAATAATTATAAGATCTTAAACCATCTATGAATCCTCTCACCCTTGGCATCAGGATAGTCATCGACGGGCACAGTGAAATGAATCAGGATTTGGGACATCACAACGCTATCGTTTCTCTTGGTGAACTGAAGGGTGATCGATTCCACCGAAGTATTAGAGCCCCAGGTCAGTTCGATGGACTGAATAGTCTTACTATCGCAAACATGGTCTCCGATCGTGGCGTTGCTTGGAACATTGAGTAGTCCATGGGAATAATTTCCATCTAAAATACCAAACATAGATTTAATATTTAATTTTTATTTTAAATACCCTCTGTATTCTTACCCTTGGTCTCGTAAGTAAAGTTGAACTGAGCAGCCATCTTGAGGAGAATGCACGTGGCATTCCAAGTTCCCACCGATGGCTCTGGATAAGGTTGAGGGGCATGGGTCGTGGTGGGTACCGGAGCGGGTGTGGTGGTCGTTTTTGGTGCTGGTGTGGATGTCGTAGTAGTGGTTGTGGTGTCCGGAGTTGGTGGCTTGCTGGTGGTTGTGGTGGTCGTCGTTGTTAGCTTTGTGGTTCTTGGTGTAGTAGTCGTTGTGGTAGTGTCTGGTTGTGGGTGGTCTTCCCCAATCTTAGCATCCTTTAGCGACAATAAACTTTGAGAGAGCACTGAAAGATCAAACAAAGTAAGAATTTAAAATTACATTGGTTTAAAAGATAGGCAGGAAAACTAGAGGCTAATGAACTAGAATTGGATCCTCAACCTGGGGGAAAATATTTAAATAAGAGATAACAAATAGCAGTGTGCTTCCTTGATTAACACTCGACTTTGTACCTCTTTTGTGTTGTTTTTATCCAGCCCTTATGAAGTCTGTGAATGATATGACTCACTCTTTATTGAATGAATCATTTTTAGTGATAATGGATTAATCCAATCATTTTTAACATTAATTTTATGAAGTGAACATGTCTTTTGATAATTTCTGTTTTGCGATTTCCACTCCCTGGTGTACCCCGCCCGAGAATGTCAGCATTTTTATCTAGGTTTCTGTCCCCCTATCTGTCTCCATTCCCTACGGAGAAGTCATGAGTTTTCATACGATTTCAGCAGCAGTGCAATGAAATGAAAATAAATACGGTGGCGTTGTTTTCCTATACTAGGTGAATCATCGATTTAGCTTAGTGGAATATTTCTGCTCATAAACAGTAATTTAATATTAATTTCTTCCATTCTAGTGTGACATCCGCTGTTGGACGCTGGGTACGTGAATGCGGTCTAAGTCACCAACCATCCCGACCGACCGCGACCCACCCACCTCGAGCTCGTTCTAGTTCAATGCCATTCCGTAATGCAGTCCAGAGAGATGACCTTTAAATGCAAGTTAAGCAAGCAGACAAACAGAGCAGAGGCAGAGGCAGACTGGCGGACAGACAGGGAAAGAGGGCGTGTCGCGCCTTAGACATGTAATACAATTTTCAGGCGAAGAGAGGAAAATGCTGGGAAAATGAATGGTTTGTGGTAATAAGATTTATTTGCCACAGCCATGCAAGAAGAGTGCCAGAGAAGGTAGAAACAATATATGGCGTTAACCTTTGAATGCAAAGTATTCAAGGGTTTTTATTCAAAACAGAGGAAATGAATCATAAAATTATATCAATTAAAAGAATATTTGAATATACAATATTCAAAATACTACATGTCTTATCTCCTATGTACTAAGTGCGGAAAAAAAATGTTTATATATTTTCGTAATAGTTTTTTTGCGGTGCCCTGCTTTTGATTGAGTTCTTATCTGCAAAATTCTACTACCAGTTGAGACACTCGCTTTGTAACTTTTCCATTCTATCGACTAATAAACTATGGTGTGTGCCACATTTTGTTGTGAAATCAAATGCAAATATGTGCGCCTGCATGTGGAGATTAACAATGGAAAATTAGCCGACAAACCGCAAGAAACCGGAGACTGCAAATGACAAAAACTAAAACGCGGGGTAGTACCGCCCCGTACCACTCGGCTAGTAATTACGAGGGCGATAAGCAGGGAACAACAATATCCGGGGCATAGTAGTTAGTAAAATAAATATCAAGTTAGAAGTAACATTGCGGGTCGGAGGAAGCCCAGACAAGAGATGGGATATGGAATAGGCTTCCCGTATGAAATGGAATTCCTATAAGGGAAAGCCGGAATAGATCCAGACGGTAGTTCCTGCTGGTTTTTGGGATGAGTTATTTTTCAGGATGTTAGGTCCCCCAAGCACGCCCCTGTTTCTAGGGGGGCGTTAACTGCAACGGCACCTATCCACCATTTTGTTAGAAGTGCCAGCAAATAGATAAATGACGATAAATCTGGATAATTGCCGAACAGGCAGAATTATTCTCTTCACTCTTTGTTCATCGCTGCTAAAATCCCCGAAACGACAACCCTTTTAATCGCCCGTGCTTTTTTTTTTTTTTTTACTTTTGCAGATAAAAAGCACAACAGCTGGTTACGTGAGCGTAAGCGAGATGGCACACGAAAAATAAAATAATTTGCGATGAATAAGCAAATTGAACAAAGGCCTCCAGTGCGACGCAGTTTATTTAAGGGGGGAGTGCAGGGGTCACGTAGTTTCTCGTTTTTCATATCTCACCTGATCCACTCAGCATTAACAGTGCCGTGCATATCACCAATTTGCTGGCGAACATCTTGATGGATTCTCTGATCTCCGGTTTTCTCCTAGTTTCAGTTCGGTTAACTTTGACTCCTACGCTTCTTGCTTCTCTGCGTTTTGGGGCTCTTCTCCGTCTGCACCGTCCAATTTAGTTTTCTTTTCTTGTTTCTTTTTCTTCTATTTTCTGGACTGGCTGTTGGTGTGACCGCTTGGCAACTGGCTCTGCACTTGAAATCCGCTCAACCTTTCGGTCTAGCGCGACAAAAATACCACAGTGCAGGGAATAAATACTGAAAAATACTGCGCCGATCAGCTGGAAGCGAGGGAATGATTTTGGAATTCAAATTTAGATTTTCAGATACTCGTAGAGTGGCAATAAAATCAAGGAAGATCTTACAAATTATTCTAGTTTAAAAGAAAATCCAGCAAATATTAAGAAGACAAACATATTTCTGATAAATCCTTATTACTAAACAAGCCCAAAATATGTTCACACCTTCTCCATTTAATTAGTTAAATACAATTTATAAATTATTAAGTATAAACTTAGCTACATTCCTTCACAAGGCAAAATATTAGCATTATCTAATACACTTTTTCTGTGCCAAATACATGTTCTATCAAAAATACACTGATGCCCCGAGGGCTCGATTCGAGTAATAAATATCTAAAGCTTCAAAGTTACTGCAGTTTCATGGTCTCCAGTATTTGGTCAATGGACACCTGTTCATGCTCATTATCGTTGGCCACCACTACGTCGAAGCCATCGAAGTCGTCCAGATCGCACTCGGACGGCACATCGTCGATGCCCGCCGTAAAGACCCATCCGCGGGCACTTCGGGTTTCTGGACGGGAGGTGAGCCGCACAGTCAGTACCTTGTCGGAGCCATAGGTTTCCCGGAACCACTTGATGTCATTTTTGCGCCTCACATCGCTGACCAAAATGTAAGGTGTCGGTCGACGGGCCAATGCCTCTTCCATGGCCACACGACAGAAGTATCCGTAATCCCGAGCGCGAACCTCATCGCTCCACACAATCATGTCTCGTCGGTACTGCTCTTTGTATGGTCCATCGCTGAGCAAGGCCGCCAAATCCAGCTGAAGCTTGCGAGCCCATTCCGACTTAATGGGCTCCGAGATGCGAACAATCTGTGCCCGGTCAGCCAACCTGAAAAAGAAAACTTTTATTAATGAGCCGCATCAAAGAATAGATTCTTGTAATTTCGAAAAGCGATGTTCGTATATTACTTACTTTTTCTGAAGCCTTTCGGAGATGTAATCCTTTCCGCACTTGCGCTTTCCACTGATCAGTACAATTTTCATCATTTTTCTTCTGGCCAACTTTCACTTTTGCTGGCAGCGCAACTTTTGGCCCTGCCCTCGTCACAGTGGATGTCTCGAAGAGTTCATCAGATTTCCACCTCGTCGGCGATCTAGACTACGCCTCTGACACCGGAGTGTCACTCTTTTTGTATTTATGCTAATGTTTCATTCAACAATTGGACGAGGCGCTAGATTTGTTTACTGTTTGCATTTCAGCTGACTTGAACCAAATGAGTTATCGTTGCAATAGACTTATCGATAACTTGATAATTGGGCGGGATTTCTAGTAAATTTAAAAACTTTGTATCTATCACTTTTGAAAATACTTTTTATTCATCCTTAACATACAATTATAATCTTAACTAATAGCCGCCTGCGTAAAAAGCTACACCCTTGGGCTTAGGGTCTGTCCCCTATCTGTAGTATTGCGATTGCTGCCACGATCCGCCCACTCCCGATTCGACGGAGCCACCGACTCCCGATCCACCTCCACCACCACCAGCACCACTGGAATTTGGACCAGATGCAATGGCGCCTCCCACCGCTGCTGCTGTACTGCCAAAGGAGGCGAGCACGCTGCTGTAATAGGAGGCATCCGCCACCGCCTCTGAATGGTGAGGCTGACCCTTCTTCAAAGTCTGGTGTAGCGAGGCTTTGCCTTGGTGACAGTCCTGGGCATTGGCGTTGTTGATCCTCGCCAGATTGGCCAGCGTGAGAGTTGAGTGGTTGCCGTGGATGGCGTTTTGGGTGGATCCCGGCGGCGCTATGCTACCGATGGTGGGTGCGGGGCGCGTTAGAGGGCGGACGATGGAGTTGGGAATTGAGGTGGGAACAGACGACTCGGAGAGCTGCAAGGGGCAAGCATTTTTATAGACAGGACAGCTTAGTTTAGGAGCCATAGCTACCACTCGCCTTGCGCTGCTTGTGCAACTCCAGGGGCGGTTCCACCTGCGGCAGAGGCTGTAGCGGTTGAAGCGGCTGCAACTGCACATGTCTGTGGTTGATGTGTGCCTGTAAATCTCGTTGCGAGAGGTAGGTCCTCCGGCAGCCAGAGCTGCCGTACCGACTACCTCCGTGGGTGCACATGAAAACCGTACCCAGGCCGCTTTGTTCCACGCGGAGTACTTTGTCGTTGCAACGGGGGCAGCTTTTGATCGGTTCAGCACGGGCGCACTTGAGGCAGAAGACATGCTTGCAGGGAATCATCCGGCCGTAAACGAGAATCGGCTTGTCACACTGGTCGCAGCAGTGAATCATCGGGTTGAGCACCTTCTCTCCGATGAGGCTCACCTTGTGACTCCACTTGAGACGCAACATGGGCTCTGGAGGACCGCGCGACAGTGTGGTAAAGGTGGGAGCCTCCAGCTGCGATATGTCAGCTTCCATGTCAACTGTGCAAAAGAACAACTTATTAAATACATATCATATTTAAATCCATTTCCACTCACTTGTCTGGCTTAGAACAGGTGGAACCGCCTGCTGCTGAAGTTGTGGCACTTGCGGATGTGGAGCTGTCATCTCAGCGACGCCACCCGCTGGCTGGGGGGGTTCTTCTGGAGCGGAGGCTACCTCCATCTCCGTTTCCTTATCCAAGTCCTGCATAACAGCATCCTCCGAGTGCTCCACTCCACCGGGACTGTCCTCCAAGGCTGCACTGCTGGCTGCCAGGGCTGCTGCGGCATCAGCGGCTAGGCTCTCGTCGATTTTCTTGCCACGACCGCGACCGCGTCCTCGTCCTCGTCCCCGTGCTCTTGTGCCGCGCCCACGTCCACGGCCCCTTTTAACTTCCTCGGTGTCCATCAGTTCGCCGTCGATGCCTGTTTTCTTGGCGATTTTTGTATTTTTCTGCTTTGTTTAGCTCCGCATTTGCGCCTGTCCAGGGTTGTCAACTTAGCTCTGCAATAAAATAAGCGCTGCCAACTTATCATGGTGTATTCTCAGTGTGACCATTAATTTAACTAATCAAATTTGCAATTTAAAAAGAGCGGGCAAAAAAATTTGAAAATTCAAAATATTTAAAAAAATATTGGTACTCAATTTGAAGAGAATCGATGTACAAATCTTTTAAGGTATTCCGCTCAAGAATCGAATGAGTATTGGCAAAGATATAGCCTTCCCAGGCCGACATATGTACATATGTAAGGCCTCTTGGAATTGGACTTGGACATGCATTTTTGGAAATTCGGACACCCCAAAATATTTGACAAAAAATCGAAAAAAAATATTTTGTCTCAGGATTTTGATGCAGAATGTTGGAGAATCGATTCAGAAATCGTTTGAAACATTCCGCTTGAGAATCGGATAAGAATTGAAAAAGATATCGCCATCGCCGTGGGCCCTATAGGGGAAAACCCCACTTTGAGGGCATCCATCAGGAAAAATTGACAAAAAATCTGAAAAATATTTTGTGTCAGTATTTTGATGCAGAATGGTGAAGAAATCATCCAGAATCGGTTAAAGATATAGCTGCTTGAATAGGAAAAGGAAAAGATTTGTTGGTTTTGTGGGGTGGGATCGATCGAAATCGTTTCGCTTGAGAATCTGATAAGAATTGGGAAAGTATCGCCATCGCTGTGGGCCCTATAGGGGAAAACCCCATTTTGAGGCATCCATCAGGAAAATGGACAAAAATCTGAAAAATATTTTGTCTCAGGATTTTGATGCAGAATGGTCGGAGAACCGATCCAGAAATCGTTTAAAATAATCCGCTTAAGAATCGGATGAGAATTAAGGAAGATATGGCCATCGCTGTGGGCCCTATAGGGAAAACCCCATTTCAAGGCATCCATCAGGAAAATGGACAAAAATCTGAAAAAATTTTGTCTCAGGATTTTGATGCAGAATGGTGGAGAATCGATCCAGAAATCGTTTAGGTACTCCGCTTGAGAATCGGATGAGAATTAAGGAAGATATGGCCATCGCTGTGGGCCCTATAGGGAAAACCCCATTTTCAAGGCATCCATCAGGAAAATGGACAAAAATCTGAAAAATATTTTGTCTCAGGATTTTGATGCAGAATGGTGGGAACCGATCCAGAAATCGTTTAAAACAATCCGCTTAAGAATCGGATAAGAATAGGGGAAGATATAGCCATCGCTGTGGGCCCTATAGGGGAAAACGCCATTTTCAAGGCATCCATCAGGAAAAATGGACAAAAAATCTGAAAAATATTTTGTCTCAGGATTTTGATGCAGAATGGTGGAGAATCGATCCAGAAATCGTTTAAGGTACTCCGCTTGAGAATCTGATAAGAATTGGGAAAGATATCGCCATCGCTGTGGGCCCTATAGGGGAAAACCCCATTTTCAAGGCATCCATCAGGAAAAATGGACAAAAAATCTGAAAAATATTTTGTCTCAGGATTTTGATGCAGAATGGTGGAGAATCGGTTCAGAAATCGTTTAAAACAATCCGCTTAAGAATCGGATGAGAATTAAGGAAGATATGGCCATCGCTGTGGGCCCTATAGGTGAACACCCCATTTTTAAGGCATCCATCAGGAAAAATGGACAAAAACTCAAAAAAATATTTTGTCTCAGGATTTTGAAGCAGAATGGTGTAGAATCGATCCAGAAATCGTTTAAGGTACTCCGCTTGAGAATCTGATAAGAATTGGGAAAGATATCGCCATCGCCGTGGGCCCTACAGGGAAAACCCCATTTTCAAGGCATCCATCAGGAAAAATGGACAAAAAATCTGAAAAATATTTTGTCTTAGGATTTTGATGCAGAATGGTGGAGAACCGATCCAGAAATCGTTTAAAACAATCCGCTTAAGAATCGGATGAGAATTAAGGAAGATATGGCCATCGCTGTGGGCCCTATAGGGGAAAACCCCATTTTCAAGGCATCCATCAGGAAAATGGACAAAAATCTGAAAAATATTTTGTCTCAGGATTTTGATGCAGAATGGTGGAGAATCGATCCAGAAATCGTTTAAGGTACTCCGCTTGAGAATCGGATGAGAATTAAGGAAGATATCGCCATCGCTGTGGGCCCTATAGGGGAAAACCCCATTTTCAAGGCATCCATCAGGAAAAATGGACAAAAAATCTGAAAAATATTTTGTCTCAGGATTTTGATGCAGAATGGTGGAGAATCGATCCAGAAATCGTTTAAGGTACTCCGCTTGAGAATCTGATAAGAATTGGGAAAGATATCGCCATCGCTGTGGGCCCTATAGGGGAAAAACCCCATTTTCAAGGCATCCATCAGGAAAAATGGACAAAAAATCGAAAAAATATTTTGTCTCAGGATTTTGATGCAGAATGGTGGAGAATCGATCCAGAAATCGTTTAAGGTACTCCGCTTGAGAATCGGATGAGAATTAAGGAAGATATGGCCATCGCTGTGGGCCCTATAGGGGAAAACCCCATTTTCAAGGCATCCATCAGGAAAAATGGACAAAAAATCTGAAAAATATTTTGTCTCAGGATTTTGATGCAGAATGGTGGAGAATCGATCCAGAAATCGTTTAAGGTACTCCGCTTGAGAATCTGATAAGAATTGGGAAAGATATCGCCATCGCCGTGGGCCCTATAGGGAAAAACCCCATTTTCAAGGCATCCATCAGGAAAAATGGACAAAAAATCTGAAAAATATTTTGTCTCAGGATTTTGATGCAGAATGGTGGAGAACCGATCCAGAAATCGTTTAAAATAATCCGCTTAAGAATCGGATGAGAATTAAGGAAGATATGGCCATCGCTGTGGGCCCTATAGGGGAAAACCCCATTTCCAAGGCATCCATCAGGAAAAATGGACAAAAAATCTGAAAAATATTTTGTCTCAGGATTTTGATGCAGAATGGTGGAGAATCGATCCAGAAATCGTTTAAGGTACTCCGCTTGAGAATCGGATGAGAATTAAGGAAGATATCGCCATCGCTGTGGGCCCTATAGGGGAAAACCCCATTTTCAAGGCATCCATCAGGAAAATGGACAAAAATCTGAAAAATATTTTGTCTCAGGATTTTGATGCAGAATGGTGGAGAATCGATCCAGAAATCGTTTAAGGTACTCCGCTTGAGAATCTGATAAGAATTGGGAAAGATATCGCCATCGCCGTGGGCCCTATAGGGGAAAACCCCATTTTCAAGGCATCCATCAGGAAAATGGACAAAAATCTGAAAAAGATTTTGTCTCAGGATTTTGATGCAGAATGGTGGAGAATCGATCCAGAAATCGTTTAAGGTACTCCGCTTACGAATCGGATGAGAATTAAGGAAGATATGGCCATCGCTGTGGGCCCTATAGGGGAAAACCCCATTTCCAAGGCATCCATCAGGAAAAATGGACAAAAAATCTGAAAAACATTTTGTCTCAGGATTTTGATGCAGAACGGTGGAGAATCGATCCAGAAATCGTTTAAGGTACTCCGCTTGAGAATCTGATAAGAATTGGGAAAGATATCGCCATCGCTGTGGGCCCTATAGGGGAAAACCCCATTTTCAAGGCATCCATCAGGAAAAATGGACAAAAAATCGAAAAAATATTTTGCCTCAGGATTTTGATGCAGAATGGTGGAGAATCGATCCAGAAATCGTTTAAAACAATCCGCTTAAGAATCGGATGAGAATTAAGGAAGATATGGCCATCGCTGTGGGCACTATAGGGGAAAACCCCATTTTCAAGGCATCCATCAGGAAAAATGGACAAAAAATCTGAAAAACATTTTGTCTCAGGATTTTGATGCAGAACGGTGGAGAATCGATCCAGAAATCGTTTAAGGTACTCCGCTTGAGAATCGGATGAGAATTAAGGAAGATATCGCCATCGCTGTGGGCCCTATAGGGAAAAACCCCATTTTCAAGGCATCCATCAGGAAAAATGGACAAAAAATCTGAAAAATATTTTGTCTCAGGATTTTGATGCAGAATGGTGGAGAATCGATCCAGAAATCGTTTAAGGTACTCCGCTTGAGAATCTGATAAGAATTGGGAAAGATATCGCCATCGCCGTGGGCCCTATAGGGAAAAACCCCATTTTCAAGGCATCCATCAGGAAAAATGGACAAAAAATCTGAAAAATATTTTGTCTCAGGATTTTGATGCAGAATGGTGGAGAATCGATCCAGAAATCGTTTAAGGTACTCCGCTTACGAATCGGATGAGAATTAAGGAAGATATGGCCATCGCTGTGGGCCCTATAGGGGAAAACCCCATTTTCAAGGCATCCATCAGGAAAAATGGACAAAAAATCTGAAAAATATTTTGTCTCAGGATTTTGATGCAGAATGGTGTAGAATCGATCCAGAAATCGTTTAAGGTACTCCGCTTGAGAATCTGATAAGAATTGGGAAAGATATCGCCATCGCCGTGGGCCCTATAGGGGAAACCCCATTTTAGGCATCCATCAGGAAAATGGACAAAAATCTGAAAATATTTTGTCTCAGGATTTTGATGCGAATGGTGGGGATCCAGAAATCGTTTAAAATATTAGAATGGAGATTAAGGAATATGGCCATCGCTGTGGGCCCTGGAAACCCCATTTCAGGCATCCATCAGGAAATGGACAAAATCTGATTTTGTCTCGGATTTTGATGGAATGGTACCGATCAGAAATGTTTAAAATAATCGCTGAATCGGATTTGGAAGATATCGCCATCGCCGTGGGCCCTATAGGGAAAAACCCCATTTTCAAGGCATCCATCAGGAAAAATGGACAAAAAATCGAAAAAATATTTTGTCTCAGGATTTTGATGCAGAATGGTGGAGAATCGATCCAGAAATCGTTTAAGGTACTCCGCTTGAGAATCTGATAAGAATTGGGAAAGATATCGCCATCGCCGTGGGCCCTACAGGGAAAAACCCCATTTTCAAGGCATCCATCAGGAAAAATGGACAAAAAATCGAAAAAATATTTTGTCTCAAGATGTTGATGCAGATTTAAAGAGAACCGAAGTAAAAATATTTTAAGGCATTCCGCTCAAGAATAGAATGGCTATTGTCAAAGATATAGCCTTCCCAGTGGCTTATAATTAAGTATTCCATATATTGCCCACTTTTTGTAGGATAAAAAATTTCGTCGAGGAAAATTGACAAAAACCCGAATACCCCATGTCTTATTAATATAATATTTTATATTTTGTTTTAAATGTTATAAAAAAAGATAAAAAATGCTAAAAATATTGCACATGATGTCAGTCAGTTGCCTATACATCGGCATCATCCACTTTTGGGGCCAGGTAATATCGAATGTAACCATAATCTTCGATGGCATATTCCACAAGCAGTGGAACCTCGGCGGATAGGCAAATCTTTACACGCTCTGTCAGAGGGGTGGCCTTGGTGAATGTGTTCAGATACCTTCCAGCAAAGGTCTGTGTCAAAGGGTCATCCACTTCGATGGTTACGTCCCCCTTGCTGCCTTCACTTAGCTTTATATTAGCAGATCCTAAGTCGCCGTTGGCCGAAAATTGGATGCCCTTTTTGGAGCAGGCTATCGTGACCGATTCGCTGAACATGCTCATGTCCCGGCAGATGCGAGCGAACTCCGCGGATGGCATATGAATAGTGCAACAGTAATCGGTGTCAGGTATTCCCAGATGGTCCTCATCCAGATTGAGTAGCTTTAGTTCATAGTCCGCGGTGCGCTCCTTTTCTCCTGATTCAAAGCTGAGGAGGAGCTTGTCCGGTTTGTCGCTAGCGCTGAGGGTCACAGTGTCGTCGCTGTTGGCGCACTTAAGTACTTTGGCCAGGGATTTGAGGTCAAGTCCAAGTGATACATTCCGATCGCAACGGAATTTCTCGAAACAATCACTTTGCAGACTCAGAGCCACTAGTGAGACATGAGAGTTGTCCATAGATTGAAGCTTAAATATTAAGATTTAAATAAATTTAATAAATCAAGACGAGTTTTTGTGTTTTTGAGCTCACCTGCAGGCCAGAGTCACTGCAATCCAACGTGCCCTGCGAGATTATCTCTTTTAGTGCCTCTACGATCTTCTTCAGAAGAAGGGTTTGTCCTAATCGCGCCTCCAACATTTTTCAAAAAGTAACTATAAAAGTCCCGTTAATTTCACAATTGGAAATAAACAAAATATGTTGGGGCCCAGCTGTTAGTATGACCGTAGGAGAAACTTCAAATGAGAGTTACCAGATAGAGTGGCTTATAGTCTGATTAGATTATTGTTAGCTACGGTAATATTTTGGAAAGTCTATGCTTTTAGAGCATTTTGATGCGCCTAACTACCAAATACTATTTTATTTAAATAATATATAAAAATATTTAAAGTTTTATTGCAATATCTGGCAACATTGCCCGGAACGAACCCCCAGTTCTAGTTCCGGTTCCATTAAAGATCCAGCCTTCGTCCAATATGTTTACGCTGCACGGGAATTTATTTATAACTGATTGCTGAGCTCTGCGATGGCCTCCGCCCAGCTGGAGGAGCAAGTTACCCCACCGGCCGCCAGCGATTGGCGGCTGTGGTGCCGCCTCTGCGCCAAGGACGATGTTCAGGGAAATATGAACGTCTTCCTGAAGAATGAGAACTCCGGAGACGGTCCCTCCGGCGACCTTTCATTGGCTACCGCCATTGGAAAGTATTTTTGGGTAAATGTGAGTGGATTCTCTGTGCTTCTCGCTAATTCAGAATCATAAAAGCCATACCCATTATATTTAAGATTTCCCGTGGCGAGGATTTACCGGAAGTGATATGCAGCGAGTGCCTCACGTTGGTCACATCCTTGGTGAATTTCTCGGAACGAATCACCCGAGTGCAGAAGCTCTACTGTATCCTCCAAAGTACCGGGCAGAGAGATGACTTGAATCTACAGGAACTACGCTCCAGATTTGGCCTGCTAGAGGAAGCTGAGGTGCATTATTTGGACGAGAAGCCAAAACTTGATATTCGGGAAGGATTACTTTCTGAAGAATCAACTTTTGAGTTGGAAAATCCACTAACAACAGTGGAGACTGATGAGGTGGACGAGGAGGGAGAGGAGGATTTGGAGCTGCCAGCTCCACAGCATGAGGAGGAGCAGAACCACGTGATAGATGAGACGGACGAAGGCCAGCCTCCGGTGGAGGAGGATGAAGAATCTGTTCTGCTGAAACTTTGCGATGCTTATGGTATCAGTGAGCAAGGTTCTCCCGGCGAGCAGTCGCCAAAAAAAGCAGAGAAGTCCGAAAAGGAGCACCAATGCAGCGAATGCTCTCGAACTTACACTCATGCTCGTACCCTGCACAGACATTTGAGGCAGGATCACGGAAAGATTGAAAGTATAGACTCGCTGACTTGCCCTGAGTGTTCCAAGAAGTTTCGCACGCGTTTTGGTCTGGAGCGGCATATGCAGCAAGGACACTTGCCCCTTCCAGACCGTAAGCAGTTCTCCTGTCATCGCTGCGATAAGAAGTTCACGAGCAGTGCGTCCGCCCAATATCATTCGCAGTATATGCACCTGGACGAGCGACCCCGACCTGTGATCTGCGAGCAATGCGGCGTGGGTGTGCACTCCATAAGTGCCCTCAAGGAGCACGTTTTGAAGCACACGGACTACGCACCCTTTGAGTGCGAGGTGTGCCGCAAGTGCTTCAAGTCCGCCACCCGCCTAAAGCATCATAAAGAGACCCACGATCCGCACAAGTACATTTGCCCCGAGTGTGGTATGCAGCTGAACTCCCGTCCGACCCTTAACCGCCACCGATTGGTTCACACCGATCAAATGCAGCACAAGTGCGATTACTGCGGCCGGGAGTTCAAAAGGGCCAAGGCACTGAAAAACCACCTAATCCTGCATACGGGCCTGAAGCCGTACTCCTGTGATTTCTGCGATCGGACCTTTGCCAACGGCTCCAACTGTCGGACGCACAAAAAGAAGGCGCATCCCGAGGAGCTGGCCGCCCAAGAGGCGGCGGGCGGATCAAAGAGCTATAACCGAAACATACCTAAGCTGGAGGCTCTCAAGGCGTTGTAAGTATATATTTTTGGGTTTCTTCTGATAGTTTATAATCTAAGCTAACAAAAATCTCTTTTGTTTTTTAGCACTAAAAACAAGGATAATCTTTCGCCTGTGGCTACTAAACAAAGTGGGTGCTTTGCTTTTGGAAAAAAACCAAAAGCTCCAGTCAAGGAGGATGTTCCGTTGGAACCGAGTGCAGTGCCAAATCAGGAATCCGAAGTGGCACCTGAACCCGCAGATTCCACTGATCACTCAGTAGAAACAGAACCCACAACCGAAGCCCCATCCTCCGCCATACCTACGATAGACAACATCTACCATCAAATCATGATTAACTATCGCTAAATTTAAAGAAATACAAATTGTAAATTATATCTCAAAATTAAATTCATAAAAATAGCAATGTGAAAAAAACTAGACCCAAAACTAAACATAATTTTAATGTCAAATATAAGTAATATATACATTTTTTATTATGATTATTTTGTTCATTTTAATGAAAATAAATTTAAAACTTTGTAAATAAACTGAATAAAACAAAGATTCTACAGGTCATAATTACTAAACCATCAAAAATTATGAAAAAATAAAAGTTTAATTTTAGAAAAAATCTATTTATACACTATATTAATAGGGCGGGAAAGCCCATTTAAACGGATCTGACACCGCGCATGTCCTCTGGATGACACTAAGTTGGAGTCGGAGAAAAGTCACCCCCGTAAAGAGTCTATCCTGGTATAAAGGAATTTAGTTCAGTTGACAGCGTGCGCTTTCCTCGTGTCCTGCTCTCCGACGAAATTTTTTAAAACTTTTTGCCAAAATCGAGTGAATTAACCGATTGATTAGCTTCACAAATAAAAAAGGCCTATTCACAGGTCCAACCATGGCCAGTTTTGGCCATAATAAACCCGTTAATTAAACATTCTGAGAATATAACTCCATTCCTGCAAGTGAACCGAAAAATCAAAAAAATCGATTTATCCCCCAATAAAAACAAAGTGCATTAAATGGCCGTAAATGCCTGATGCATATCAAATAACCCAAATGTGCTTTAAATCCCATTAATAGTGATTTGAAATGTTCAAAAACAAAACTGAAAAATTGTTGTTTCATTAAATATTTATCCATAAAGAATTTTAGTGCGAATATCGTAAAGAGCAGACAGAGAAAAGCGGCAAGAATAAACTAAAGCTGTCTCAATTTTTAGTCCATAAAAAAATTTTAAGTAATATTAGGTAAAAAGTTGAAGTGAATTAAATATTAATAACGGATTTGTGGGTTAAATAAATTTAAACAAAATTTAAAAGTGTGTCCCTGGTTTTCACAACCACAGCTGTTTCTCGTGGTCCACCCTAGATATTATACGGTCTCTCTGTTTTCGAACCGGGTGAATTTGGAATGCATGATGGGGCTTCGAATGGATAAAGTGGGGAATAAAGTAATTTATTAAACAAGGTATGCTTTTAAAATTCAAGAAATACATCGCGGATCTTTAATTTTTGTTTGAAATACAAAAAAATTTAAATCTCCAAACCGGTTAAGCAGCTGACTGCAAGTGAGACCGTTGCTGCATTCATCGAAAACCTCAAATCCTAAGTTCCGTTTGTTTTGAAGAATCTGAAGATACAAATACAAAGATACAATCATCAAAGTCGGTGCAAAATCTCGCTAGCTGCGCGAAATTACCGAAAAACCAATGTTTTTTTCAAAAACGAAACGTGAATAAAGACTCTATCACCGAGGCCAGTGTTTTCTGTACATTTTTCGAGTGATTGTTTCAAAAAAGGCGCTTGGGTTGTACTGTTTTTTAACATTTTTGTCGGCGTTTTTCACTTGTTTTTTGTTTGTTTTACGCACACACTACGAGCTCGTGTGCGGACTGAGCGTGTGTTTGAGCGTGCGTGTGGATAAAAAAATCGATTCGATTGTAAGTTTTTGTCATTAATTACTGTGCAACATATTAAAGTAATTAAAACTCCAGCCCAAGACCTGTGGGAACAGTGCCCTGTCATGTGTGTGAGTGTGTCCGAGATGAAAATCCATCCATAAACCAATAAAAAAAATCTAGTTGCGGCCAAAAACGGGTCTGTGGCGGGTTGCGTGGGCGGACTGGATGTCGCCCCGATTTACAATCAAGAAAACAACATCTGAAAGTTACATGATACATATTTGTAAGCCGAAGCAACAGTGCATTCCAAAATCCGTAGCACTTGCACCATCCGCCCCAAAAAGTTTATGCCAAAAATATGCAGACCAGCCAAGGAGACCAAAAACAAAAGTTTCCGGGTGCCAAGAAGAAGCCGCGAACCGCATTATCTTCTCGGCTTGACCCAAATTGCAACTGCAACCTCTGGTCCTCCTTGACTCCCTTTATATTTGGTCTTTTGTGCCAACTTCATCGTGCCTTTGTGTCGTGAGTTTTTGCCCTCCCATCGTACCATCATCCCATCCATTGCCACCCAATGGATGTACCCCCATTCTTTTTATTTTTTTTTTATCATTTAATGTGCGCCAAGTTAATTGCCGAAAGAACTTTCCGAGCTGTTGCTGCTGTCGCCTTTTATCAGTGGCAAGTTTTAAAGTATCTCCGCCCCTGTATCTCCCTGCGCTGCCCTTAGCGGCGAAATTAAAAACTTGCCCGCCAGCCTCATTAGTTGGCAATTATGGGGCATTGGGCTCCGGCCAAATAGCTTGTCAAACTAAGAATTTCCTTATTGAAATTGTTCCGAGTTCGGGGCTGAAGAGGGAGCCAAGACACAAGACCCAAGACCCTAAAGCAATCAATAGATTCGCTCGCAATCCATTTTAGCTGCAAATACTCATTGCCTCGCGCTTAAATGACTTTTCATTTCTATTTGACCAAGGCGGCATTTTAATTAGACGTTTTAGTTGAAAGCACACGACATAGGACATCCGATACTCCCTAGTGTGGACATTCCTGCCCTGCCACTAGGGTTGATGCAGTCCCCTGGCCGACCGGTCTAGGCATCCCTCTTCTAATCCAGTTGCTGCGGGGGTTGGCACTAGAAGGTTTTCCAATTGGATTCTTATATTGTATTGTAGTGCAACTCCACATGTCCTGAATTTCTCCCCGAATCGCAAAAGCAATAAATAATTTCACCCCAGTTGGCATTTAGCTCTAATGTGTTTTTCGCAACTTTAGATTTGTTTGCAACCACTTTAATTTTTATTTGCCAGAATATCAGAGTATGGGAAATAAAATTTCGATGATTTCCAAACTAAAATAAATATTAAAGTACACACCTAAGAACTAATATCTACAATTTCATGAATTTGAACTCTTTAATTCGTATTTTTCAACTCTTTTTATGAAGCTAATGAACTCTATAAACGAGAAATGTTTATGTAATGTTTACCCTACTTCTCAATGCAACTTCATATTAATAACCGATCAATCAGTCACCGGCAAACACCACACCTTTGATAAAATGGTAATTTGATTTAGTTGTTAGCATAACAAACTTATCGAATGGGGCCACTTATCGCTCTCTGTGTGGTTAATTAATACGTTTTTTACGTAATTTTTTAGTAGGTAGTACATTATTATATAGAATTTATAAAAATTGTCACTATCTTTAAGGCAGTATTAGTAGTTAACATTGTCTTCATGGCCACTACTATTTACTTAATGGATTATGATAGTGTTTCTTATCTGAATGAAATATTTTTTTTAAAGAAAACTATAGAAAAAATGGAAAAAATTTTAATATAAGTTGGCTTGGGGTAGTCCTTGGCACTTATAGGATATAAAATCCCTTGCCAACCACTGCTGGCCAACAAAGCTTCATAAATTGGCCGTTAGTTAGTTTTTTTTTATTTATTGTTTTATTTTATCGATGACACACTTGGCTTTTGAAGAGCTCCTACACAAAATTGTTGAACATAAAACACTAGCAATACGTCTTCTTTACCCTAGATGGTCTTTTGATGGTCTTTTTACATTTTATTACATTATGTTGCCAAATTTAATAATTAGTCTGATTTAAATAAATTTGTATAATCATAAATCTGTGACAAAGCATTTGTAGGTCTAATCGACACGAGGCATAATCATCTAAGGTTAGAGACCTTCCGCTCATTCATTGATAATTTTGTTTTGTTTCTGTATTTTGATGACTTTTTTAATGTGTTTCCATGTCCAAATTTGAGATATGTTTTTGCAAATATAATGATCTGTTTCCGTTGTTGTAAATATGAGGAGTAATAATATAAATTTGTAAAATGTCTTTCTTATTAAAATTATTTATTTATTTAGAATAGAAGTTTTCATAGTTTTTATACTTCAACCTAAATTCGTTTACAAATATTATTTTTTTTAAAACATATCTTAAATTTTGTAATATATTTTGACCTTACATTTTACATTTCCATTTTACATAACAGATTCTACGTTTCTATATTTGCTATAAAAGCTTACAAATCCTTGGAAAAAGGCTTACAAATCTTTTAGATCTTTTTGTAGAGTTATTTAAATGAAAATCATTTTAGTATCATGTCCTGAAAATAGTCCTGTAGACCAGTTTTATAAAATAAAAACTTTTTTCCCCTAAACTTCTTGCGAACATAGAAGCTTTTGTACTACTGTACAGTATAAGAGTGTATAACAGAAGGATAAATGCTGTATTCTTTCCTACAAAGAAGTTTAATGTACGTCCTTTTTTTTTATTTAAAAAAAAAGCTCACTTCGAAATATTCAATATTTTTAGTACACATTTTTAGAACTGCTTGCGAACAGTTTGGAAACTTGAAACAGAGCTTTGGAAAACTTTTTAGTGTATAACAGAAGGACAATTGCTTTATTCTTTGCTATAAAGGAGTTCAATGTACCAGTACCTTGATGTCCTTTTTGCTATACATGGTTTATAGCGTTGACAAAGTTTCCAACCCCTACTTTATTTTATACAGATTCATTCTGTTCTACCAACTAACCCCATCTCTTTCCTAAATAAGGCTCAAAGGAAAGCTCAGTTGGTTTTCTATAAAGTGCTCAGTCGTCTGCGAATCTAATGAATGGATGAACATTGCATATTCCCCTTTTTGGAATGCCCCAGACACCCCGGTCGAGTGAGTTGCTTTGCGTTGGCATTCGCAAAATGAAAAACTAGTGGCACGCATATAAATTGCACGTTATTACCCGGTGCAACTGCAACTGCAACCATCGGACAGACATCGCATTCCCTGACGGTCACATTTTTTTTTTCCAAGTTTTGCATTTCACACCAACAGTAAAAATAACGAACCCCAAAGAGATGCAGAAAATGAGTAGAAAAAAAGCAAAGCTTTTACTTTAATTAAATGCGTGCGTGTTGGGCAAGACCCAATTTAGATT